TATGTTCTTTTCTGTTATTAGGTTTTCCAACGTTTTTCGTTTATGGACTTTCAATGATACATTACAAGAAAGTATTGAGGGCAGAATTCTTAGATTTGCCTTATTGAAATATGGAACAGATAACGCCATGGACGCGAGGACGTCGTCACACGAAATGACGGAAGGAGATCCTCCGAACTCGGAAGGTCCACGAAAGCACGCGAAATAGGAAGAAACAAACCGCGCGAAAACTAGTATAAAAGAAAACTGGAACTAGTTGATATTATGCACTTGATCAAGACTGATGTGTAGTCGAAATGCGTTGTGCTATTAGCTATATCCCTGTTTATTTTTAATCTTTTGGAAATTTCCCAATAAATTGATTTACACCTTACCAAGTTTGGATCAAGATTTCTGAGGTGAGGCAGGATATGGGAGCAGTTATACGGAGGTTATATTTGTTGAAGAGCGCCAAACCTCTAAGCCTGCTACCAATAGGCTCAGCAATATGTGAGTTTAACCAGTTGGCTTACATTTATTTGATCATTTCAATATGCTACACTATGATCTGTATTTTATGTTTTATTGCAGATTACTAGTGGATGTATTTACTACCCTGGATACCTTAGTGGTAGTATATAATTTGAGAAAACTCTCATGTATTTTAATAAATGTTATTCCTCCCCTCCCTGCTTCTTACCTGGTCCAGTGAGGGGGAAGATTCCATTCCCTGGTGATCTGGTGGCATGGTGGGGCACCCAGCTGCCTGTATACCGCAGAGGGGGCCCAGCACACTTTGTCTGCACAATATAACTCCTCTCTTTAACTCTTGCGAGCATGGGGTTACCATGCTCTTGCAAGCATGGTAACCCATGGCAACGCTCTGACAGCCATGGGTCTCGCAAGAGTTAGAGAGAGGAGCTGTACCGTAAGGACGGAGTGTGTTGGGCCCCTCTGCAATATACAGGCAGGGGGCCCGCCGCTGCAAATATATGTAGCTATATTCACTATATATATATATATATGTGTGTGTGCAAATAGGGAATGTGGGGCCCAGGACTCCCATGGCAGTCCAGGCCCCCAGGACCGCTGGGCCCGTGACAACCATCAACCATTGTCACGTCCTGATGGCGGCCCTGCACATACAGACACACAGTAAAAAAAAAAGAAGAAAGAAGAAGAAGAAAAAAATAGAAATTCCAGCGCATTCCATTATCCCCTAACAGCAACTTCAGTGCTGACAGATTGTTAGTTTTTTTAAAAACACCTAATCCAGGCAAAAAATAATGGGGGTTTAGTTACATTATATGAACATACATTGCATAAGGCTGCCACAGCGTCAATGTACCCCATCTTTGGCAGGTCCTACACTGCCAGCCTAGTGTCTGCTTCATGAGCTACTTACTTGGGGGGGAAAAATTCCATCTAGATTTCTCTGCAGTACAAGGCTAAATACCCTCCCTGTCACAGGTGCCTCATCCAAGGGCCCTATTTAGCCTTGTAATGCAGAGAACTCGAGATGGATTTTTTTCCCCAGGTAAGCACCTGTCAAAGGATGGGATATATTAGGCATCAAGTGAACAGTTGGTTGTTGAATTTCATGTATTGTTAGCAGGAAAAATAGGCAAGCGAAATTATCTGAGAGACTTTGACAAGGGTCAAATAGTGACGGCTAGACGACTGGGTCATAGCATCTCCAAAGTAGCAAGTATTGTATGGAGATCCCTGTATTTAGTAGTTAGTACCCACCAAAAGTTGTGCAAGGAAGGACAACTGGTAAACAGGCGCCAGGGACATTGGCGCTCAAGGAGATACTAGTCTATCTGGTCAGGCTTTCTGTGTTTTTATTCCAAAATTTCTTATTTTTTTTTATTCTAAAATTTCTTGAGTGAAATTTACTATTTTACTCTATTTTTCCATAAAATATGAAAAACAGATACTCTTTATTTCATAAACATTAGAAAACTGGGTATTTCGTAAACTGACTGTTTGAATGGCGCCATATTGGTACAAATGTGCATACGGTGGTGAGATTTTACCTGGTTGAGTTTATATAATCTGAAGTCTTTACTAGTTTAATACCAGGACAGAGCTGATTAATCATGGCTACCCGAAGATATTCTTCTTTCCTAATATTATTCCTAAGTTTTTGTCTTTAAAAAAAACAAACAAAAAAAAATTGAATCCCGTAAACGCCATATTAAAAAGTGAACAAAATGTCTCTTCTTTTAGACAGCAAGGATATTATGTTGCTTTTTTTTTTTTTTTATCTGACATCCGCTTTTCCTTTATGTGAAACCAAATAGAGTTTAATTGCAAAAATAATGTATTTAAGTTAATTAAAATAGATGATAAATCCATCTTGGTGTGCCCCTTTATAGTCTAGTATAAAGCAGATAGTACATGCATGCCCTTGCACCTACAGCTCTCTCTTTCAAATACATTTCTAAAACAGCACCATTCTTATGGAACTCTTTTTCTGACTCATTAAATTTAAATTATCCATAAAAAAAAAATATATATATATATATGTATATATATATAAGACATATAAATTAAACAGTTACTCTCACTTCTCCACTCTTCACCAAACTACTTTTTCTTATCTTGTAGAAATATAACATATAAAGTGTATAGGTTTTATAATGTAATTATAGCTTTATACCAATCAGATCCTGGCTCTACAATTATTTTAAAAAAATTTCGAGGGGGGAGTGGAGGGGTGGGTGGGTATGTGCATATCCTGGGCAACAGTTGTCAGTAGTTTTATTTATGAAAAGGGGTGAATGAAGCTACTATAGAATGAAGCTGTTAGTGGTCATGCATTGATAGAAAAACAAAAAACAGGATGTGCCAAGAGAAAATATAAAACCCAACTGAAGTAAAAAGAACAAGGCAGTAAAACACTAAAAAAAATAAAACCAGCTAATGTCCTTACAGAGATAATAAATTGAGTTACCAGGTTTAAAACAGTCGTAAATGCTGTGTCCTTAGGAGTCCCAAATATTCATGCAATATTTATTTACTAAAAAGGAATATAAAAACCACAACGCATTTCACCCTTTAGGGCTTTATCAAGTGGTAAAGCGTTAAAGGTTGAAACGCGTTGTGATTTTTATATCTCTTGTTATTAAGTATTGTTTGGCTATATCAATACAGAGTTTTTGCCACATACCTTTTTAGCTATTTTACCCTACTGTTTGGTTCCTACCTGGCATCTTGCACCTACCACTGTTGACATCGGCAGACAACCATTAAAGAATTCAGGGTGGGCATTATACCACCTACGCCTGATACTGAGAGTGGTTGGTCTGCTTAAAACATTGTAAGTTTCTAAATATTTGCTTGGATACTTAAAGTGGAGAACACTATTGTTTTTTCCTTTATTTTAAGTGGGGCACCTAGCTACTATCCTTTTGTGGTAAAGCATCATCCTAAAAGTGGGGATCTATAACACTGTATGCTGTTTTATCCAGAGCTGGTTATAGCTCCACTAAACGTGAGTTGCCATTCAGAGACTTATGTGCAGTGTACATCCTATTTAGCTGACATTTAGCTTATGTTGCCAAGAAACTAAGCTACTACACTAAGCTACTGCATGAATATTTGTGACTACTAAGGATACAGTATTTGAGACAGTTTTATAGCTGGTATTCCATTTATTATTTATGTGAAGACATTATCTGGATTTATTTAAATTAGTGCTTTACTGCATTGTTCTTTTTACTCCATTTGGGTTTTATATTTCTCTTGGTTTTTGTTTTTCTATCTTAGTTGTTTGTAGGTTTTTTAAATGGAATACCCTATTTTCAGGTGTGCTGCCTCTGTACCCTAATCAGTTATTTAGCGCTGCTTCACCCTTTTTGTTCTCTAGTGGTCAAGCATGCTTGTGTAAAATATTTTATGATAGCCAGTAGACGTTAATGTTATAATGTGGTGGGGACTTGGTCACGTATTGCTGTGATGGTTGCAAATGTCTATAGCTACGAGTTACAGAATTAAAGGACCACTATAGTGCCAGGAAAACATACTTGTTTTCCTGGCACTATAGTGCCCTGAGGGTGCCCCCACCCTCAGGGACCCCCTCCTGCCCGGCTCTGGAAAGGGGAAAGGGTTAAAAACTTACCTTTTTCCAGCGCTGGGCGGAGAGCTCTCCTCCTTCTCTCCTCCTCCGTTCCTCCTCCTGGCCTGAATGCGCACGCGCGGCAAGAGCTGCGCGCGCATTCAGCCCGTCGCATAGGAAAGCATTTACAATGCTTTCCTATGGACGCTTGCGTGCTCTCACTGTGAAAATCGCAGTGAGAAGCACGCAAGCGCCTCTAGTGGCTGTCAATGAGACAGCCACTAGAGGATTAGGGGGAAGGCTTAACCCATTCATAAACATAGCAGTTTCTCTGAAACTGCTATGTTTATAAAAAAATGGGTTAACCCTAGCTGGACCTGGCATCCAGACCACCTCATTAAGCTGAAGTGGTCTGGGTGCCTAGAGTGGTCCTTTAAGTCAGACAGAGACAAGGGGTATTTCTTTTCTCATGCTATGATCTCTGGAGCATCCATTTATGACATTGGTGAGAAGTACACTTGGAGATTCATTTCTATCAGAACTGCAATTTGTCCGAGTTTGGACCAATCAGGGGATTGGTTGAATTGCCGAACTCTGAGCCAAATGGTCCTTAATCAAATACCAACATTTGATCAGCTTGTGATTCTGAATCGACCATAGCACTAAAAAAAAAGGTTTGATTTATGGGAAAAAAATATTGATGTTGATTTTATTCACAGATGGAGGACCTGTTAAAAGAATCCATACTTGTATATTTCATGTTTGAAAAATATATAATTTATATGTACATAGATTTTTTTTACTGCTCCTCCACACTTTTTAGCACTTGATCTGTGAACCAAACAGTGGAAAAATGCACTTATCATTGTTCTGCAAAATATATTAATAATATTCCACTGAGGAAGCTCTTTTAACAGAGTGAAACGTGTTGGATGATCTCTACACTAATTTTGGAGTTGGACTATTTTAATACAAGGCTCTGCATTACTCGAATTGACCCAGCTGTATTGTTCCTGCAACAGCACAGAGAGAGCCACAACCTTGATAAGCTTACTTCCAACTATTGGTCACTGGCCACACAGCCAAGAGCAGCTCTGGTACAACATGGTAGTGCTACTAAGTATCAGTCTAACAGCAAAGTAATGGAACAGTCTAACAGCAAAGTATCAGTGTTATAGTCTAATTTGTTTACAATATATTTTATACTGATTTAAGTAAAAGCAGTTTATGAGTGTTTTTAACAACTTCAGTTGGGTTATCATGTATACATAATTTCCAGGGTCTGCATCCATACCCCGCAATTGTGTATACTCGATTAGAAGCTTTGCAAATGAAATTAATTCATTGCAAACTATTTTTGTTTACGATATGGGGTGTAATTTAGTTTGCAATTATTTTGCTGATAACAGTGCCGGCGCTACCTTTTAAGATCCACTATGCTAAGCTCCACCACAGCCCACCCCCTGTGCAGCACAGGCCAACAGATATAGAGATCTCCCTGCATGGCACTCACTGCTCACTCTGCAGGCTGCACTCTGGCTGAGAGCAGCACTTTGCGAATGCTCCCTCCCGGTCAGAGACCAGAAGGGTGAATTCCAAGGGGGCTCTCCGAGCCAGAGGCCAGATTAAGCTGGCAGACCACTGAAACCAGGTAGACACATGTGATTCTTAAATCATTCTCAGTGACACGGCATTCGCTCACTGCCAAAAGGTAAGCAGGAGGGGGTTTTCAACAAAAAATAATTATCGAGCAACATTGTGTGGGGAGGCTGAGTGTGTCTGTGTGTCTATGTTCATCAGTGTGTTTGTGTGTATGTGCTTGTATCAGAGTGTGTATGTGTATGCATGTATGAAGTGTATTTATGTCCATGTATCAAAAAGTGTATTTATCCGTGCAATTTATCAGGGTGTGTATGCTTGTGCCAATGTGTCAACATGGCTGCAATGTGAGGGTGATATGGGAGGGGTAATGTCATGATCAGAGCTGTCTTAATGCATGGGCATGCTGGGCAGTTGTCCAGGAGCCCCACGAGCAGAAGGGCTCCTTAGGCTTACCAACTTTTCAGTATACCATTCCAGGTGTTTGAATCAGAACCTTAAAACCCTGTTTATTAAAATGTTTAGGTGGACTAATCACCTCAGTATCAGCTGTTATCTGTACATGCTGCCTAAGCTTGCCAACCCTGCCAGAGCAGCCGGGAGTCACCAGGAGTCTAATTCATTAAATTTCAACTAAAATCTATGAATACTGTAAAATGTTCCGCTTTCAGGAAAAATGGTTCAGCCAAGCTAAATTTTCTTACAGTGCGCAAGTCTATTGCGAAGAATTGTGACGGTCTAATGGAAGTTTGAGAATGAAATGAAGGCATTGAGGAAAGATGGATGGCACAGCAACATGGGTTTAACACTGAGTGGTTACAGAGTACATGGAGGTAAGGGAAATAAGTGGAATACAATAAATGTGGGATGAGACTGTGAAGATTATAGAGCTGGGACAAACAGAAAATGGTGACATGAGGAAACTGGGAAAAGAAAGGAAAGAACACAGATTGGATAGAGACATGGGGTAGAGAAATTGGAGAACGGGGGAAAGAGACTGTTATAAATAATGGAATGATTTGGACTAGGTAGGACTGGGAGTTAAAAAGGCAAGGCACAAAAAGAAACGGAGAAGAAAATATAGGTGGTTTGAAAAGTCCTTGTCTATTCTTAATAATTCTCGATTAGTGAATAAAACAGTAAGTATTTATCCAGTAAACTATGAATTGTGGAAAGAGATTAGGGAAAGGGGATTGTAAAGAGAGGAAATCAGGAACATTGAAACTTGCAGAGTGTAAAATAAGAAAACTTAGATGGCAGTTAGAATGCAAAGAGATTGAGAAGGAAAAAAAGAGGAGAAAATAAGAATGGACAGAAAGGGGGAAGGTGCACTGACTGGGTATATTATTACGTAATTACACAAAGCATAATATGCGATTAGGCTGTCAATGAATGGGTCAATAGATAGATTTCAGGAATTCGTTTTACACTGCACAGCTAGGCACAATCACTCAACGGGAAATTGTGTAAAACTGACAAAGGGATTGCAAGTTTTAACCCAAAATAAAATCTTCAAGACATAGAGTTTTAAAATTCCGGATGAACTATTTTGCCCTTCGTGTTCCACTTTCTTATTATTCACCATTTAGTGAATATCCCAGAAAGAATTAACAAGTTTCAAGCCTTAGCAGGCTAGCCGAATTTATTTCCATCTCTGCCACTTTGCCTACATTTTCTAGGTTGATCCATTTTTAAACGACAATGTTATGTAATGCAATTTGTTCAGAAGTAGGTAAGGTAGCTTTGTACCAAATTATGGACTGGTTGGACATGTGTGGGTCTGTGATTACTACGGCGGAACATTAAGTCTAGCTAATGAAAACTAAACATGACAGGTACTTCATTCTAAAATCTAGATTGTGGTCAGACCTTCCATCACGTCCACCTCACCCACGTCAGTAAAACAGGAAAAAATATTCATTATTGAATAATTACTCCCCTGTACATAATTTACATTTTTGGTGTAAAGTTTCTGTATTTTACTGTGTGTTAAAGGACAGCAAGGAAAGAAAATTGAAGCTTTGGAACTTTCTCTTTGTAAAGGTCAGTTAACTGAAATACTTTCTCGGTCACTGCTCAACCAGTGGAATCTTGATGTGCAGAACAACTAGATAATGTGACCAAAACAAGCCACCCTTTCCCCAAGCGATGCCTTGGGCAATGCAGCTATAGAGTTTGCATAGGAATCTTCAAGGTGAACACAAACACATCTTTCCTAGTGGAGACAGAGGAGATCTAAGGCGACTAACTGAATGTTTGTGTTGTCCTTGTCTTGTAGTTCTTGTCTAGGCTAAAAGATAAAAGAAGAGAAAATTCATTGACAATAAGATACCCAACACAACAAAGACGGTACGAGTTGCATCTGTCAAACAAATGTATTGCCTAATTGCAAATGTTTCATTTCAGACTTACCAACTAAGATATTTTACATCAGGAAGTAGATAAAATGAATATGCAGTAATTTGTATAAACCAGCAAAACAGATAATTGGTATCAAATCATTAGAAGATATTAACAGAGTAACGATTAAGTATGATGAAGGTATGATGACCAAAATGTTACTCTGTTAATTAATACCAATAAATTGCTTTTACCGTTGGTAAGAACAGTGTTTCTGGAGATTTTTGTGGGTTTTAGATTTACATAGAGGAATGGATGTGTGCTCCCTCTCCCTTCACTGGTAATATTTTGAATTGAATTATTGGTGGTTTTGTTGTCTATTTTTGTTATATATATATATATATCTTGCAATGTAAGTGTATATAGATACTTTCTGGTTAACCAGTACCTCTCTTTACAGTATTATTACAACTTGAATTGTAGTAAACAGACTTGCAAATAAAGTTGTTGTAGTTGTATCACTATGCCATTCACAAAAATAAACTCATGAATATACATGTAATCAGTTCTCTCAAATAATTATTCAAATATTGATTGCACCTAATGGAATATTAATAAATACAGATGAGGTTTTTTTTTTTCCCCTTTAATATTTCTTTCCCATGTCTACAAGATTAGTCACTAAACCAGGAAGTGACCATAGCTTGAGAGATGGAAAAATAACTAAGTAAAGGAAATTTTCCAAGTCAAGCTATTTTGGCCTAAAATTTGCAATTATTTTGTCAGTTCTTAACAGTTCACAATTGAGAGAACACCCTTGATTGTTTATTGAATAATTCCCCAAAACCTATACTTATACTATATATTTATACTAAACCGGCATTGTCCAAAATTGCCCCCGAGGTGTTGTTGGATTAATGGATTACAACAAATGGAGAGCCAATGTTGGACATCCCTATCTGAAACTCTAGCAGGGTTATTCAATAACCAAGTACCAACCAGTTTAGGGAATAAATCCGGCATGCGTTCGATCACTGATCAATGAATTTTGGAGAGAGATTAGAGAGACAGGGTCTTGAATGGAGAGAAAATTAGGAATATTAAGATTGGGGGAGAATAAAATATGACAATTGAGACTGTGGATTATTTAATTGCATAATTATACAAGGGACTGTATGTGATTAGCATCTTTTTCAAATGAAACAGGATAAATATATATGCTTGTTACAAGTTATTAAATTACTATTTCAAGTCCCTCAGCTGATAGTATGGCCCTATGTCTATCGCCCCTCGGCTGATAGTATAGCCCTATGACTATCATCCGTCGGCTGATAGAATGGCCCTATGTCTATCGTCCCTCGGCTGTTAGTATGGCCCTATGTCTATCGTCCCTCGGCTGATAGTATGGCCCTATGTCTATCGTCCCTCGGCTGATAGTATGGCCCGATGTCTATCGTCCCTCGGCTGATAATATGGCCCTATGACTATCGTCACTCGGCCGATAGTATGGCCCTATGACTATCGTTGACTATTGGATGGAGGAGAGCTGTGCCACCACTGACACATATTAATGCGCTACTTAACTGGCAACATTACATCCACCTAGAAAGCAAGAAGGAACTAGATGGGCTCATTAAACCAATGCTCTATAAATCTGTCTCCAGGATGTCAGCATATATGCTTACAAAGCGGAGTTTATTTTTGGCTTTTTCCATTTTAAAACACCTGATAACTAGTTCGAATGTCTTCCGGCCTGGCCTGGTGGTGGGTCCCATGGACAGATTTGGGGGGGGTGGGGAACTGCATTAGACTACAAGTAACAAAATATCTAAAAGCCTTATGGTTATTGTATATCTCAACAAAATTAATTACTCTTAATGTGCATCTTTTTCAGACATCTTTGCATTGCAATTAAGTAAATCACAGTAAAAATATTAAATTTCTGCATATAATGTAATTAAAATTAGCATTTTCAAGCACTTAAAAAAAAATGTTGTAAAATCTATTATAGCGTGTGCGTAAGAATATTTATGATATTAAGACTTGTAATGTGTATTTAAGCCAAGTCTGGCGTTAGTCAGCGATGACTATAAAGCTTATGTGTGCGTTGGCACAGCCCAGTTGGATTTTAATGCAATCTTAAAGCATGAAAGAACCGTGACCCAGAAAAACAAACATGAATACTCCTTCTGTAAAACAGAGAATTAAAATCGTGCAATTATCTATATATGTTGGAACGTAAACATGGCTTGAAATACTCCTCTTTGCTTTGCCCATGATAATGCCTCTAGGTTTGGTTCCAGGAAGTTCTGAAAATGACTGCCTTCTCCATCCAGCTCATGGTTCCAGTTTAAATACCCATTCATGTGGCACATAATAAATGCATTTCGCAAAGAAAAGTTAGTCAATAAAACTACCCATTCCCCCCACAGCGTCTCAGGGATGCTAGGAGCACTAAATTCAGTTTATCCCAGCCATGGGTGCTCCAGTATCCCAGTGATGGACTGACCCCTGAGATATGTCTGATCCCCTCCTAAGCCTTAGGATATCTCTGGAATTAAGCCATTGATGTCAAGCTCCATGGTTTCTGTGGGGTCCAGTGAGAGCAGAAACACCCTCCCTCGAACTGTCCCATACCCAGTGAGTTGGTGCCAGTCCTGACTTTGCCCAGGTGCCAGTGAGATGATGTGATGCCAGGTTATCCAGTGCCAGTCAGTTCCCAGGTGGAATCTCAGGAACACTCTTAGAACGTTGTGACATCGTCTGAAGAAACTCGATCCCCTTTAGAAATCCGCAACGTTCTATCCCCCAGGAGGACCAATCAGCGCTGAGAACTGGTCCCCCTCCCTTTACCTGTAGAACTCCGCCAGCCAATCACAAGTTTTCCAGCTACTGAACCTCCCTCTCACTCCTAGCCAAGCTCAAAAAGCGAGAAAAGCCGACTAAACCCGTTTGTTCGCCCGGGCTCCCCAATACACAGGAGGACAGATCGGATTTACTGTCCCAACTAGAAAGTCCAGTTCCACCGACACAGGACGAGATGACACAAGACTACGACAAGTAAGTGAACCTGGCTGAGAGTCCAGTAGAACCGGTGTGTTTATCCTGAGCAGGGGAATCCACTGAGTGCAATCCGGGTTCCTCACCTGACACCCCTTCCACTCACTCCCACTCCCCAACCCACCTGCATCAGCTGGCTTTTACAGATCTGAATTTTATTTCTTGATTTTCTTATTATGGGACTTGGGGTAGCCAGACTGGGAGCTGTTTGATGTACAGATTAATTCCCCATCTGGTTCCTGGATCCCAGATTGGGATGGGTTTTTATTTGTATTTATTGATACTGATTAACCCTGGATGGGGTGCTGGATTGTGGGGATCTTTGTTTGGGATGGGGCAAACCCTGCACCCTACTATGGAACAGGTGCTATTGCTGCACCTGTTACAGTCCCAATAGCTCTCAGTCTGACACGGGCTGGGTTCCATTACACAGTGTATAGTGCTACATTGTATAACTGACTTTCTCATCACCCTCAGCCAACTTGCTGAAATTGGCGTAACTATAGTAAACACTCTCCTTTATGGAAGATCGGTTTTGTTGGGGTTCGTTTTTTGTATTGTGTGTGTGTGTTTTTTTTTTTTTTTTTATGTATGTATGTTATTTTGGACCTTGTTCTGTGATCTGTCGCTAATAACTAGAAATCTCAGTAAACGCCCACCAGGCAGCAAGCCCTATGCAAACAGGATCACCTGAAGTTTCATGTGACTTATCCTGAGAATAGGGGCTTCTTGTATTCAGTAAAGGAGGGCAGGTGCATTGAAATGGCTCCTTAGTGGCAGTATCGCTGCTCAGTGCATACAAACTGTCTGTTAAAGGATCCCTGGCGCGCTCACTGCGCTCTGTACAATAGCTTACAGAGTGTGTTTGTATAAGGCCTGTTAGTGAGTGTATGATCTGCTCTGTTATAGAGATAAATGAGCCAAGCATTGAAATAATGTATACATAGTATAGTGTGAAATGTGTGCATGGAAATAATGTATGTGTATACCCAATAGTGTAAATAAGAGCCACAATGTGGAAATAACTGCTGTATGGAAATGTATATAAACTACAGTGAGATTTCTTTTGTTTTGTTTTTTTATAAAAAAATTGTAATTAATTTTTAATTTTTTTACATCAACTGTTCCTTATTGATTTAATTAGACATACCCTCCTTGTTATCTCACAGTAGGAGTCTATGGCAGGGTGGTCATGAGGTAGACCCCCCACCCCTATGTGAACTACAATTCTCAAGATGCTTTAGACCGGCTAAGCATGATAGGAGTTGTAGTTATGCAACATCTGGAGTCTATTTCTCAGCCAGCCTAGTCCTGTGACATTTTCTTGGGGTTGCAGTAAATTTCTATTTGGGGACACAGGCTGAGATGTAATGTGATACCTGTTAGGCGTTGGTCAGACTAAAAAGAATAGATTTAGCATGATTATCTCTACTAGCTGTCATTGCCCCCAAATCCTTAGACACTAACAAACACTGGCTGGGAAGACAGGGAGTTTATATCCCTAAAGCTCCCCTCCAGCTGAGTGTTTACATAGCCTTTTCTAATGCATGCTATAACTGAAGCCAACAGCTTTCTTTTCCATGCTGTGAGATTAAAAAAGGTACATAGTCTGTGATGGAGACAGAGCATTAACAAGGCATCATTAAGTCACATGACACACCTAGTCTTTATACTAATGCCTTCAATATTTGAGGCTTATTTACACAAAATGGCTGTCTGCCTGTGAACACTACATTAGAGGGGGGAACAAGGCTGCTTTTATAAAATGACTAAGTGGTTGTAAATAAATATCTAATGGGTTCTGACTGGTACATCACAGCTTTGTAATAAACATCAAACACCAAAAAAAAACAAGCAAAAATAAAATAAAAAGGCAAACACTTCTTTTTTTCATTCTCTCTCTCTCTTTTAGTCTTGCAACTGTCAGCTAAACATTATTGGCAACATAATTATAGAGTAGCAGGTAATTTGTCCTTTCTGAGCCAGCAGTGCATTAGTCAGCATACGTATATGTGGTATTGACTGTGTTGGTATTTATGATAGTACATAGGGGTTTTGAATGCGTGCATAATTTTTTTTTTTTTTTTGTAAATTCAAATTAAACTGGTCTTATTGTGTTTTTTGTTTATTAAACCAGGACACGTAGGGAAATAATAAGGAAATCACAAATCCTGCGATTATGTAGCCAAATTGGAGTTTAAAAAAGAAAATAAAAAAAATCACTCTAAATTAGCAACTTTTCCAGCTGTGCTCTTTTTTTGCCTAAAATTTCTCCATGAGCCTGGTTCAATGAATAAACTCAAATGTTTCATGCAAATAGTTTCCCAATTTTTTTTTTTTATTTTCCTTTCCAGTTCATTTTTTGTTATTTTAACATCATATTAAGCCAACATTTCACAATCTTCCTTCAAGTTGTGTGTGTGTGTGTGTTGGAAATGAACTGATGCCAAATCATGGATGGCGTACTGTTCTGTAAAATATAATTCTGGCTCCTTTCGTCCCTTTTTAAGACAGCAGATTACCTTCCAGGCATTTGTGCATTTTTAACTGTATGCTCCAATGGGAGGGGCACTCTACAAGCACCTGTTGCTTTAATAGTGTATAAAACCTTACCTGTGGAATAACACTATTCTAAAAAGTAAAGTAGAACAGTAACTGACTGCTAAGGTGATCACACTTTTGTCCCTGTTTTGCCACAAAGACTGATTTCTTTATGGTGTGTGTATTTTCTATACAAATTTGCATATATTACACAGACAAATAAAAGCTAGTTATCAAAATTATTAGATGTTATTCATATTATCAGCGATCTGAACAGGGACCCACCAAAGGGCAGGCTAATTGAGCTGTTGTCCGTCCTCAGTACACTCTTGCATCTTGCTTTTTGCTCTCCATAAGTTTAAAGAGTAATCCAGATGTGGAACCCTTGCTCACAGTGCCTAGAGAGGTACCATGCCTCACTAATGGTGCCTAACAAGGTTGAAACGATCATCTGGGGTTGCTGTGTCTCTCGTGCAGAGAGAACTTGCTGGCATTTTGGATCTGGACTGCCTGTACGAGTGGGACCAGTCTGATATGCTTCAGCTATGTTCCCTCTGTAATGGCACAAGATGAGCCAAAACCAGCTTGAGATTTGAGCGGGGACCCACGGAAGGGCAGGCTATTTTAGCTGCTGTCCGTTCTCAGTACTCTCTTGCGCCCTGCTTTTTGCTCTCCACTAGTTATCAAATGTAATTATTCAAGGAGGAAGCAAATAATAGGTTTATTTTTAGATTGATGCCTGCCATATTGTTGCATAACAAGAATTAGGAAATCTAGTTTTTTTCCCTATATTGTCACAGCCCAATGGGGAATACATTTTTACAGAGGTGTAGGATATTTTTTTTTTTTTTTTATTGCTTTTTATAAAGGATGTCAAGAAAATTCACAGCATTGACTTTTTTTTTTTTTAATTTTCCAGTGACCTGTGACAGTCCTTGCCATCAGTGAATGGTCTACGCAAACCCTAGGCCAAATTAAAAGGCTTTTCTTATTAATCTACAGCAGTTTTGTAAGGGACTACAGACCTTTTTAAAGTAGTTTCGCATTCCATGTCCGGGTAATGTCTTTGCATAATAGATTGTTACACTGACATAGAATATCATTGTTCCTTGGGAGGTTAGTTAACAACAAACAAAACACCATTTATTTATATATTTTTTTGGCTCTCTAAGCCTATGGAATGCCTGTATAATTTTGTATTTCACCCCCTCCCCGGTCTGTATATATTGGACGTACAACTGAAAACCAGCATTACATCAGCAGTGCCCTGGGACATTAAATATAGAACAAAACTTGCATGTTTTTGCTAAGATCACTTTCCTCGCATGTAAGTTTATGCCTTACATTTCTTTGTTATTCATCAATAGCTGTTGGGTTATGTTGCTATTGTGCTCACGGAGGTGGAATGTGTTGTACGGGGTAGGGAGGTTGTGTAGCTACAATCAGTTGGGCTTCAGAATTGCAGCAGATCATGAGTGCAGTGTAAAAGGTCTGTTCACTAAATGGTGATTTATATATTTGCAACAGCGTAAAAACAAAATAAGTCCAAACAGCAAATTGGAAAATGTCCTAATTTAAAGTACCAGTAGAACAATATGGTGGAAAAAAAGGTGGCTCCCCAGATGTTGTTGAATGACAACTCCCATCATTGTTGTAGAATGTCAACTGCCTTTAGGCTGACAACAGTTGAGAATCTACCTTTTTACCTAAACTTTGTTTGTTGTTTTTTATGAAGCCAAGGATGATAAAAAAAAAAAGTGTCTCTTGCAGGGTTAACAGAGAGAGTTTGTCACCTTGCAATATCACTGGCCATTGCCACTATATCTACAGCTGACAGTGTAGTGGCAGTGATTTTGCTCAGCGTAATATTGGGAGAATTGTCAGTGTTCTAGTCTAAATAGTGGTACGAAAAATATAAAAAAGGAGGAATCAGAATGTAATTGTTGGTTTCCATGGTGATTGACCCACTTACTACTTTTTATAACAGAACACTTTTTGATACATTTCCCCCATGGTGTCTACCGGTTGTTCTAGTATACACTTGCAGACAGCAAAAGCTTTTTCAGAATTTGCTGTTTAAAAATAATTAATCTAAAAATATATATATATTCTATATCTGAGCGCAATATTTTCGGTTTACTATCTTATAGCAGCTCAGTGGAGCAGCCTGCCTTTTGGGTTAGCTCTTACTCTCCCAATGCCCAAGTAAGCCGCCATGTAAGCGATTACAGATATGGTTTGTTTATATAAGGCAATAAGGAAAGTCACCCGAGTGATAACCCCTACATTAAATACTTATTTTGAGATTAAAAGCTTATGTCTTTGGTTTTTTTTTAAATTAGTTTGGCTACATCTCCGCACGTTATAATTTTTCATATGTCAAGTGATCCTTCTACATATACTAATTTGTCTTCCAGAATACTTGATTATGAATGAGGCTATCTTAATTTTTGTAGTGTTGGTTATTTGTTAGTGTTAGGAAAATATATTATTTTAGAATGCAGCATATGAATGCAAAAGTGTATCGATTTTCGAATTTTCTTTTTTTTTTTTTTTAATTGTTGGAAAATTATTAAAATGACACAGTGACAATACATTGTTTATTTAAATCATGTGTAAATATAGAACATATTCTTTTGTTAAAAGTACCTTTTCATATTTTTATTACCTCCCTCCCCTCCGCTTTACTAAAAATAAATACATTTTATATTGGATAACGCATTATTTTCTGGTTTCTACCCGCATACTTTTCTGGCAAAAATTTAACATTTGTGTTCTAATTTCTTATAGTCCTTTCATTTGCATGATAATCAAAAATCTCAAAACAGTTGACCTGTGTATGGTTTCACTGCTACCTCTGGGACTATAATTCACCATACTATGACTAATGCTAATCTTATAACTGGGAGTGACTGAGAACTCTATTGCAGTCATTGCTGGATTTGCGACAATTAGACAATTATATGCAACCCCCTCTACCACCAACACACTTAGATTAGGAATAAAAACACAGCATGTGAGCAAATTGGGGGAGTGTGTGTGTTTGTGTGTGTGTGTGTGTGTATAATATATATTTGTACGAGAGTTTTATTAGAAACAGCATTTAACGGAGGTTATGAATGATCCTCTGTGTTCATTATCGGCTATCTAGAAGTTAATTTAATTTGTGTTAAAAAATAGCGCTTCAGTTATTTAAATTGAATGTATCAAATGCCTTTTACGTTCAATTTAAAAAACAAAAATTGTACTAGAAAACGTTTTGAGTAACTGTAACTGTTTTGTGTTTTGCATGTACTGTAGTTTGAAATTCTTGATGGATTTTATATTAATTTCATTATCAGAGAACAACATCTTTCAGTTGGCTGACTTTTATTGTTCTGAGCACTGCTATGTTTTTGATGTGCTAATTGGTTTAAGTGCAATGCTTCAATGGGACAATATCTGCATGGAACTTTAGAAACTGTTAAACATTTAAAAGGGAATGGGTTTTTTTTTTCTCTCTCTCTCTCTCTCTCTCTCTCTCTCTCTCTCTCTCTCTCTCTCTCTCTCTCTCTCTCTCTCTCTCTCTCCCCCATTTAACATTTAGTAGCATTCTTGTATTGTTTTTTGTTTTTGTGTTTTTGTTTTTTTCTCTAACAAATAAAAATCAAAACTTGTAAGTAGCTACAGTAATCGTAACTAATTAGTTTTAAAAATAACTAAATAAAACACATTAGTTTTATATACATAGAAATGATTAGCTTCCATGTAGCCATAATGATTCCTACCTGCAATGATGGGATTAGTTGTTTAATATTTAATATTAAACATTAAGAACGGATGCACAGGGGACTTCAGGCACCATAACTACTTTAATGAGAAATGGCTATGGTGTTTACAGTGTCTCTTTAAGCTATATTTGATTAGTGCACTTTCATACATAGCTGTCAATCTATCGAAGAGATGCTTACTCATTGGAAAAAGTGCATAGTTTACACACTAAATGGTTTTAAAAAAATAAATAAAAATTTAACATTTTGTCATGAATTTTCCATGGCTCTATCTACTCTATTTCTAATAGGACTAATATGGTTGCCATAGTAACATTACCAGTTCCCCCAACCCTCCTTTTATCCCCTCTTGGTTACATTTCCACATCTTTAGTAAATTGTTTATGTATTGCTCTGAATAATGGGCTCTAGTTGTCAAACGAATAGTAAAAAGTACAACTTCTTTCTTGTAGCAAAAGGCCTGTATTAGTTCTCCAGAATGAGGCAATGTATCAACAGAGGAGATCCTACACTACTGAAGACGAGGCCTGGAAGTCTTTTCTAGAAAACCCACTGACTGCGGCCACCAAAGCCATGATGAGCATCAATGGAGACGAGGACAGTGCAGCAGCCCTGAGTCTTCTCTACGACTACTATAAGGTGCTCAAGATAAGGAACTGACGATGATACTGTATCTGTTACAGAAATAATTGATCATTTTTGAAACCTTGGATTTAGACATGTCTGTAGACGTAATTTAACACAAACACAATAGAATCGAATGAGTCATGGCTTTCAAAACACTTTGAAGGGTAGTATTGGTAATGCATGCCTGGACTAGCAACCTTGGAAAATAAAGGGTTAAACACCTGTCAAAGTAGAACATCTGCTTCATAGCAAAGATGATTGTGCAATGCATGTAAGGATTTTAAAAATGAAACCTTTTTTTCAAATATATTTAAAAAAAAAAAAAAAATCTTTTAATGAATGCTCCGTTATAGTGGTTTAAACAAAAGAAAAATCCCTGATTTGCATGTAGCAGTCTGGGCCTATTTTTGCATGCACAGTTTTGCATAAAACTTATGTATTTATGTTTAATATGAAACCCACCAGGTTCCTAGAGATCGGAGACCGTCCTCTGCAAAAACAGACCATGATCACACCGAAGTAGAACACAATAAAAGGTTTGTTTCCTCCAAGAATAATAACTTAAAATGCAACGCAATCATTTATTTATATGTGAAAATAAATGTGTAACCTCTATAGAGCACAAACAAAAATCAGTGTGCTAGAATTAAAGATCCTGCACATTTTACCATCCACAGTATTATAAGGAACTAGATTACTAAATTACAACCTTTTAGTCTTGAAGGTTTTTTGGATTTTTTTTTTTTGTTTAAATTAGCATATTTTCTATGGTGGTAAAGGTTTTTGTGAACCATAAGGGAATAACGTTGTCCGTTTACCATAAAATATTTTTATAACTTGATCGCCACTTATTTGGATCATTATCTGCTGAACGTTTTGTCACGTTTTTCCCATTTCCAATCAAGTAATCCAGCTGGCCCTAGAACCAACTTTGGTTCTGCAACAATTCTTCTCTGATCTTCATCCACTGATCTTTCCCATCACAACCTTCTCACCAAGCAAGTGTACTTTAACACTTCACCCTTTCAACTACTCTAGAAAAAGCAGTTCCAAACGCATCCATATTTTTTAACCCCGTAAGGACCAAACTTCTGGAATAAAAGGGAATCATGACATGTCACACATGTCATGTGTCCTTAAAGGGTTAAATTACTACAACACCAGTCCTTCAGCTCAAAACAACCTATCTAAACCACACTTTTTCCCCCCTCACTAGAAGATGCAGGAGTTTTTTGTTTGTTTACATTAATTTTATATTAATCTTTCTTTTTATTCAAAGGAGTGTGCTGTCGCAATTGCCTGAACAACACTTAATTTCTGCTGGAGAAAACAGAGTGCAAGTTCTGAAAACAGGAGTGCCTTTCAATCTTCTGGTTCCTCTGAACAGCCAACATGACAAGCGAGTCCACCTGAGTTCCCCAGACACCACTGGCACGATATCCATAACTTCCATGCCAACCCATGCAATCAAAACTGAATCACAGAGCCATGGTTTTACAGTGGGCATCCCACCAAATGTCTATCACTCTGAGCCAACAGAACGCATTATTAACTATGACCGCAACGTTACCCCCGATCACTATAGCTCCAGCAGCCAGCCACCAAGTTCTCAAAGGAGAACACCAGATTCTACATTCTCTGAGTCTTTTAAAGAAGACGTACAAGAGGTAATGGAACGTTTTAGACTTCCCAAGATCTTCATTTGTGATGTTAATGTGTGCTAGTTGCTGATCATCCAGATGTAATTATATAATAATCTGTAATTCAAACACTTAGATCAATAAGGTAAGTTCAATTAATGGAACGATAACAATCGGTAAGATTTAGGTGCAAATCTTTGAGTAAGATGGTATGTGTTGTGAGATGACAGCGGCTGCATGCTCCAAGTTAACCCGAATGTGTTGTTAAGAGAAGTAGTTAATTGGGTATTATTGTTGGCATTTATATAGCGCCAGCTTATTCTGCAGAGATTAACAGTGTTATCAAAAGAAGAATTTAACAACAAATGAGAAGACGTTAACAAATATTGGCAGGAATAATAAATTGAGCTTGCAGTCTTAATATATCAAACATGCACTATTGCTGCTATAAAAGAACAAAGTTTAAGAACATGGCTTTCTACTACACTATCATTAGATAGTGTTGTGTACTTTTATTTTATTTTTTTGTATTTATTTTTTTTAAATAGTTTTTATATACCTAGGTATGCTTCACCACTCAGTTTTCCAGGTTTTATATTATTTGTTCTAACAAAACTATTCTTAATCTTGTACTGTCACAGCTCAGGTTAAAGTAAAGGTACATTAATGTAGAAAAAAACAAACATGTCATTTTTATATTTTCTTGTAAACACTGCTAGCACGTTTTACGAGCTTGTGTATTAAAACATATCTGCACAGGCTGAGCTCGCCCTGTGATGGAAATCTCTGTACCAGTGCTGAGCGGGGAACCTCAGCACAAGCCATTTGCTGCGCCAAAGCAAACAAAAAGATAACTAATCTCTGCCTTATTTGCATTTCATTTATCTTTTGTTGAGCCCTATTTATTTATTTAATTTTTTTTATGTTTAAGGTGTTCTTTCCATCTGACCTCAACATCCGAATGAACGGTATAAACTCTGAAGACTATGGTTTCGATTCTGTTGCTGGGTAATTTAAATTTTTTAAATTTTTTTTTTTGGTTTTTAATAAAAAAAACAAACTAGTTTTACATTTATAATCCTGATGATTATATTTCCATACCATAGATTTACTATTCATTACTGTCACTTACTGGCTCCGTATTGCAGTAAGTGATAACCATATGGTGAGTTAATGACCAACCTGCAAAGTTTAAGGCTAAAGCTGGTGATGTTTCTTTAAAACACGGTTCATTTTTAAATTGGATACTATTGACTTTAAGTTTGTAATTGAGACTTTAATGCACTGGATTTTATTTCTTCATGAGCCCCTGAAATAAAACTGACAGCTGAAAAAACCTAAACACAATTTAATAATATTTTCAATTAATAATATAATATGACACAAAATGACCAGGGTGTTTTATGGTTCTTTTATAGATCACGTATCCCTAATAAATAGGGGCTTCTGTTTTGTTTTTTTTCTTCAAGATTCCCCACCCCTGTAATCATCCCGGCCCAAATCTGTTGGTGCCTTATCAGTGAAAGTGTTTTTGTACAAAAGTCACCTATATGGTAGACTTATACACACTGATGTGTGAAGTTGTCCTTTTACCAAACAGCCATACCTCCTACACTCCTTGACCAGCTGGAAAGGGAAATTAGTCACTGTTACTAGGTCCGTGGTTAATGCCCCAACTGTCTTACCTTGCAATCTACAAACATTGACAATGGTTACCTTTGAGATGGGTGATAGATGCACCCCAGGAGAAGTTAGACAAAACTGAATATGCCCTTCCAGGTAACATACTGTAATATAGTGTTGTTATTGTATAGACCTGACCCTGACTTCTTTTGTTGCTATTTTTTTTTTTTTTTTTTTTAGGAATAATTTTGAATATACACTTGAAGCCTCAAAGAGCCTCCGACCGAAGCCTGGAGACAGCACAATGACCTATCTGAACAAAGGCCAGTTTTATCCCATTACACTAAAAGAAATCAGTGGGAACAAAGGAGTTCACCAACCAATCAGCAAAGTTCGGGTAAGGTGTATTCCTCTTAGAATGTTTGTTTATTTTACACCAACACACACACCTTCCATGGAATATTAAGGATTAATGCAAACTAGAGTTTGTCTACAAAGAGCATATACCCCACTCCACTTTTAGAGCTGTGATTCGGAACTGCTTCTGTATATTAAAATATTATTTACTTGTATGCAACACCTACAAGTCTGTCTCTTACATAGTAGTTCTGAAGGATCTCCCAGAATGCCTTGTTAAATATGCAAATGAGCACCGGCAGGCATTTGATTTTAGACTCCATCCCTCATTTCTCCAGGTGCATGTCGATATAGAGCGGTATTTATAATGCTGCTTTTGAAACCAAACCATGAACTGATGTATAAATGGTAATATTATATATTGTGTAATGCAGCATTCTGTCAGATAAATGCTTGTTTTCGTTGTTTTTACTGTCTTTTTTTTTTTTTCTGTATTAATCTGTGGACGCCCCACCAGTCTAATCGATGTTTTCTATTCTCTCCTTCGTGTTTCAGAGTGTGATTATGGTTGTGTTTGCTGATGATAAAAGTCGAGAAGACCAGCTTCGTCACTGGAAATACTGGCACTCCCGACAGCACACAGCTAAACAGAGGTGCATCGATATCGGTAAAGTCCAACACGAATACTGTGTATATAATATTATGTGAGCAAGGAACACGACACCATGATCTGTTATACACCAGTCACTGTATTCATGACCGGGGAGATCGGGCAACTTTTAGCTTGGGGGCAAGGACAGAGAAATGGCACTGAGATTGCAGCTGCATCCACAGTCATTTCTCTGGAATTTATGCCACTGAATAAAACTTTAAAAATCACCTATAATTTGTTTTAACACTTTTTTTCCATTAGACGCACTTTAAATTTTAAATTTATATTAAAAAAATAAAATAAAAAATGTAGCCTTAACAAACGGTATCATAAGCCAGTCCAGACAGAGCAAAGTTAGGACAAACCTTGCAAATGGGGAGTAGAAGTAGAAACGTTGTTTCACTTATTTCTTATTCCTATTTTCTCTACGCTAGGTGCAAAGGACAGAGCTTATATCAATTCTTGTCAGGGAGCTAAAATGGGGGCACTCGGTTGCGGGGTAAAGAGGTGTGAATCTCTACATTTAATTTACATTTTCACACCTCACAAATACATATTTCTTAAATATGAGAATACATAAATATAACTTATTGGAAGTGACAGTTCCCCTTTAAATCTGCAGGTTAAAGGAACATTCATGTTATCCTAGCTATTTAGAATATTGCCGCCCTTCACCCCAAGTAATTCATAGATTTACCTGTTTACTTCCAGCAACCGCCATGCCTCCTCTGGGAAGCATTGAGGGGGCTGGTACGCATGATTGAAAATATCCATGCGGTGTCCATCATCTCCTTCTAAAGGATCCAGGAAGCCCCTCTAGTGGCTGTCCGAGTAATGGCAGCTAGACATTACTTCAAGCAGTAATGTAAACACTGCTTTTTCTAAGAAAAGGCAGCGTTTACACTGTTCAGTCTGCAGACAGTCTCTTTGCCCAAGAACTTTTACATTTGGCTGTAGTGGTTATGGTGCCTTTAGTGTCCCTTTAAGATAGAACCAGTATAGTCTTTAAAATTATTTTCGGGCTTAATTTTTTACTAGAAGACATTAACATTTTGTGATGAGTGGATTATGTTCCATGTTAAGCTCTGCTATTGTTTTTACAGCTGACTACAAAGAGAGTTTTAACACCATCAGTAATATTGAAGAGATCGCATATAACGCCATTTCTTTTACATGGGACCTGAATGATGAAGGAAAGGTATGGCTTACAAGCATTTATATTGCCTCATTTTAACTTTTGTAATATGAGGGTGTGTAGCATTTATGACGCCTCTACTCTGTAATTATCTGTGCTCTCCTTCTTCATCAATGTATAATCAGATTTATTATTAAAATGACTTGCTAACAATCAGTTGGCCAAAAACAATAGATCTTTAGAGTGCCACTTTACGGCGCTGCAAAACACTTTGTGGTTGTGATCAAAGAAATGTGATCCGAATTATTGCACTCCAGAGTTACGGAATGCTACATGCTAATGTTCTGTGAATGCGGACACAGGTTATTTACTAAACTGTGCCTTGTTATGGAAGTCCAGTGTGAATTTTAGATTTAGACTAAAATAGCCAAACTGGAACCGTCTTTTTATTTTTTGGGGGGGTGTAGGGAGAATATTTCCAGTTTGGCTATTTTTGGCCTAAAACTTGAAATTTACTCTGAAATCTCAATAATTCACCCTGTCTGTGTGGTGGTGTTTTTTTTTGTTTTTTTGTTTTTTTTTGGGTTAATTTGAAATATATTGGGCATTGTATGGTGAGATTAATTAGAACTGGTATATTGGGTTAATATAAATAAGGGGGGGTAATCCTTTTTCAGTAGTTGTGCTGGGAAACAAATGTAATTGGGTAAATTGTACACATAGACTGTGTGGTTTTTATTCATCATAATGGCTAAAAGAATTAAAGTAATAAATAGAGGTCTATAGTATAAACAGTATTTTTATATGTAGCTTTGTTCTAGAGCATTCAGGTTCTCATGTGAATAACTGCTAAAACTGAGCAGCTGCAGTTTCTTTATTCTCAAATGTCTGTTGTCCTTTACATCCTGATAAAAACCCCATAGACCAAGGGGGTACTCTGGCCATCATTGAGTGTCATGCAGTGAGTTTAAGCATGCGTGGGATAGGCAGTCATAAGGCTATCCTAACTATAAGATAAGACTAGGGACTAATGAAATTATTTAGAAAATTGGGCAGACTAGATGGGCCGAATGGTTCTCATCTGCCGTCACATTCTATGTTTCTATGAGATTGCAATGTTCTGATTCTAGGTGGCTATTTTTTATTTAATTATTTTTTTGGTGTGTTTTTTTTTTTTCAGTCAGATGATACTTTAGATGTTTTATCTCCAGCTCATTTATATTGAACTTTCCTCACATGCAGGAGGCTCCTGCAATATCTAGCAAGCTTATTAAAAGAGCGGGAGATACGAAACTCTAAAGTAAACAGACGATGCAATAAAGGAAGTGTAACATTAGATTTCATGATTTATACACCAAAACTGCTTCATTAAGCTTAAGTTGTTCGGTTGACTATAGTGTCCCTTTATGTCTTTATATTAAAAGATAAACCAGAAGTTGAACAATGCCCCCCAGCCCCCAACCATGTTTTTGTTTACATAGTTGGATTTACCTACATACTATAGCCATTGAGGTGGCCAATAGTAGTGGGAGTTTGAATAGAGGGCTTATTTCTGTGTGTTCACTTCTTCCTTGTGTCTGAAGAGAAACCAGCTATAGGATTGCTGATGATTGTGATTCTTACATTACTGATATTTTGATTAGGAAAAAAAATAGGCTAAAGGGACACTCCACTGCCGACATTAAAATACATTTATTTTGTTGTCGAAAAACCCCCTTGCAAAAGCTGCAGTTCTCTTGTTTGCTGCCTTTGCAAGCCCTCCCCTTCTAACACCGCCCAGGCTTTCTGTTGCTGGCCAATCAGACTTCCCAATGCAGCTCCATGAGAAGTCTTTGCAGTGCAGGAGCTGTGAGCAATTGCTGCCTCTTGAGTTTAGTTCGACTGAGCTTAAACAAACCAGGGACCAAGTAACAGGGCCAATTATCTGACAGCCATGAGGGAGTAACAAAGTTAATTTATAAAAGTGCCAATTTCTGTTGACACCTGCACTTTTTATAAAATTGAAAGGGGGGGAACGCACACAGTGCTTTAGGGGTCTAAAGTGTCCACTTTAAATATTTTTGTTTTTGTTGTTTTTTTTGTTAATTGCTTTCGTTCCGACAGTGGAAGACTCAAAGATTCTACTAATGTATGCTCAAGCATTAAACCTGTAGCAGTGACAGCGAACGCTTGGCACTGTAACAGCTGGAGTGCTGTACATGGCTAGCCTCTGCCAAAGAGTGGCTTCTGTGTTTGAGCAGGTGACTTGTCTTAGCCGGGCACTGTAACCCCACTGCTTGCAGGTAAACACTTCCAGCTCTGGCTGCAGGATGGAAAGTTTCACCACAGTCTTTCAGGACTCCCATTTTATTGTTTGCTTTTCTCTTTTTCTCATGGAAATCTTTTGTTTGAGATATAATACACATTATTCCTAGCCGATTGTGTACACAGCTCTATAATTTGCGTTTTCACTCTCCATGAATCAAGATGACCTGGCTAGTATGGCTAGGAATTCTCCTGACAATGGCTTAGATAAAGGCATACACAGGATTCAGGGTTGGCGAAAAAGAAAGCTCTTTTCTTCCCCCTCCCCTCCTCTCCCCCTCCCCAGGTGAATTGTTGCACTTCTTTAGTGAACTGCAAGAAAAGGCCTTTACAATTGGTGATGATGGCAGCGTGATGTGAACAGGCCTTCACATCGTACCTATAAGGAGCCTATAAGGCTGAACGTCTGGGAGAATTCATAAACAAACAGAGCGGCGAATTGTTAAACGTATTTTCCCAGAGTTTCACTCAATACAGAGGAATGAAAATAAAATCAGCTAAGTCATATGGATCAAATACTGCTTCTAGGACTCTGGTATTGTTAACCCTACCCCTGCCAAAAAAAATAAAAATCAGAACAGGAAAGGGTGGTTGAAAAAAGATCTGCCACCTTTCCACTTTCTGCAAAGTTTACCTCTACAACACTTGGGGATCTACCTTTTCTGTGTCACAGGAATGGGTACATTTTAACATGTGCCCTTCTAACACTCCAATAGTTCATGGATGTAGTTGCCACAATTGTTGGGGTTTTTTTTGTTTTTTTGTGGGGGTGCGTTTTTTTTTTTTGTTTGTTTTTTTTTTACCTGTAGATTGCCACCTATGTTTTTATTTTTTAAGTATGTCCTGGAAATAGAGCACCTCATGCAAGCATTCTGTAACCTGTATTCACAATCTGCCCTAAATTGTCCAGCGATGCCAACACTAATTTGGGGAGGATAAATATCTTGTGAAATGCCATTTGTGCTTGATGTGTATCTCTTGGCATCCACTCTGCTTGATGAGACGTTCCGATGGGTAGGGCCTAGTTTTTAACCCTTTGTGTGTTAAAAGCAAATATACCGCTGCTTTAATATCTGTTCACTATTACAATGCCACACTGGTGTCGCGTTGCTTTGTGAAGACTTGCCCTTACCGAGTCTGTTGGCAGATTGTTTAATGTTTTTCTATGTATTACCCCCCGCCCCGCCCCCAATATTCCTCTCTTCTTTAATATACGACAATGTTCTAGTCATTCTGTGCCAGTGAAATGTGTATTTTATGTACTTTATGTATTTGAATTTCTTTGTCCCATAATTCTTCTCTCCAGCAAGTTGCATATCCTCAATTTGCTATTGATGTGCATTTTCCTGCCGACTCTGCTCAATTGTGTTTGCCATCTTATTATCTTCCATTATGTTGCAATTTATGTAAATAATTTTGGTTTTTAAATTAACGAGGAGCACTCGTCATAAGAAATGGTTAATGAGGAGTAAATTTACACCTGCACAAGGAAAGTCTGCCAGAAGACGATGTCTGAAGGATTAGTTTAAACAAGTAAACACAGATCTTTCCCTGTGCAATGCAGAGTAGACTCCATACTGCTCTGTGTTTTGGGCCTGGCTGGCGTGCTACATTAAACCTTTGATACGTATCCATACCTTCCAACTGTCCCTATTTAAGCGGGACAGTCCTTATTTGTGGCCCAAATTCCACATTTCTATCCTAATATCCTTCTTTTTTAGGAGATCCATGTTGTTTTTCTTTAAAGGAACATGACCGACACCTTTAACAACTTCATTCAAATTAAGTTGTTATGGTGCCACGAGGTCCTTGGTGCGGGCTCTTCTGTAGAAGTTAAACTGTTCACAAATGGTTTAAACCCAAAATATGTGCTCCAGCGATGGATCTTGCTGCCCCCCTGCACTTCGGTTTGCATAAAATCTTCAAAAGGGAAAGGTAGGGCTGTTGTAGACAGGGGCAATGCAGATTGGCTGAGAATAGTCAGGTGACACTCTCAGCCAATTAATGGCTCCCAATTCACAAAAACGCAATGTAGATTTCTAAAGCCATTTAAGAATGGCGCGCCACAGATTGACTGAGCGCGTCGGCTGACTGTTCTCAACCAAACAGGTGTTCCCCTGTCAGTGGCTGCCTTTTAAGCTTCCATTTTGAAACTTTTGAGCAAATGGGAGGGGGCAGAAATAATCGGCACTAAGGCACAGACTTTAAAATTTAAATAGCTTGTGAACGGTTTCAAGTTGAGCCAGAGCTAGAGACATCTTGGAACCATAACACCTTAATTTCAATTAAGTTGTTATGGTGCCTGTCATGTCCTTTAAAGCTGCAATAAACATGTTTGAAAATCCGTTTTTGTAAATCAGATACATTGTCCCCATTCTATATTGCGTTTTAGTTGCATAAATTGTTATGAATAAGTCACCTAAAAGTTCACAGAACAGCCTGACCCTGGCCACACCCCCGCTTACACCCTTAAAACTAAGGTGTCCTCTTTGCCCATTTGAAATGCTGGGAGCTAGTTGTATCTCATTTCACGATATGCAAGTTTGGTTGAGTCTCTGCCCAGACTGGCATACAGTATATAATGTTGCACTAGTTATTTAATGAGCTGCTGAGGAGGGGAGATGTTTGCAATCTAGGGGGGGCTTGTTTTATGGTACCTGGTATTACATGGTAACCTTGGTATTTACAGGCTCAAATTCAGATTGTTTTTGGCCACCCTCACTAAGTCTCTTTTATTGTCTTCTCAACCTTTGTGGGTAACGTTAACATGCTAGTGTCATTGACTGTATATCAGTGGGTTTGCAGAGTTTTTATGGGGTTATAAACCTGGAGTTGCATAGAGCCAACACGGGATTGGACATTTTTAGCCCAATATAGCAATGTGTAAGATAACCCCTCTCACCCACCCCCTCAATTCAGCCTTTGTGGTTAATATTTCTATTTTTAATGAACTAGGTAAAGCTACAGTGATATTGTACAGCGCTATGGAATTTTCTGGCATTATATAAATAATATTAATATTTACCATGGGAACATTGCATGGCTTGGGATAATTAGGCATCAGTTTTGTTCTTAAAGGTATAATTTAATATATTAGAAGTTCAGATGGTTAATACACCACCAGTCTATAGTAGCACACAGTATCTCAAAAGTGAGCACACCCTCACATTTTTGTAAATATTTCATTATATCTTTTCATGTGACAACACTGAAGAAATGACACTCTGCTACAATGTAAAGTAGTAAGTGTACAGCCTGTATAACAGTGTAAATTTGCGGTCCCCTCAAAAAAAAAAAAAAAACCTCCACGCACAGCCATTAATGTCTAAACCGTTGGCAAGAAAAGTGAGTACACCCCTAAGGGAAAATGTCCAAATTGGGCCCAAAGTGTCAATATTTTGTGTGGCCACCATTATTTTCCAGCACAGTCTTCACTGTTAACCCCTTAAGGACACAACTTTTGGAATAAAAGGGAATCATGACGGAATATTTCCGTCATGTGTCCTTAAGGGGTTAAGGGCATGGAGTTCACCAGAGCTTCACAGGTTGCCACTGGATTCCTCTTCCACACCTCCATGACGACATCACGGAGCTGGTGGAAGTTAGAGACCTGAAATGACCTGAAACGAACTGTGCATTTAAAAAAAAAAAAAAAAAAAAATAATAATAATTTTATTAGCTCTTATTTAGTAAGTAAGCCATTGGATCACCACCTTTTGTATCACCGACATATTCTGCAGCACAGGACACATTCAGTAAATGCTATAATATGTAATATTAATAGAAAGAAATGGAGGCTGCTTTTAGAAGCCTATCAAAATAGATTTTACTAGTCCCGTAGAAAATAGCGGTGATTAGCATGAAGTGAGCTTTGTGTGCTGATCAAAAAAAACTTTTTACCAAGTCTTTTATATCTATCATTTTTTGTAAACTTTTTTTTTTTTTTTTTATATATACCTAATTGTTTCTTTTTAAAAAAAAAATAATTTTTTTTTTAACCTTAATTTTTTGACCGTGAAAAGGTTAACTCCTGGCACTGCGTGTCGCCTACTCGTTGCCTCCTATATTAGCAGCTAATTGGCCTGTTAACGTGACTGTGTACATCAAGGACTGTATTTAAAGGGATACCACAGTAATGAAACACCCAATTTTAAAGCAAGGCGTTGTCTGTTTTTGTGGTATTAAAGGTGTAGGTATGTGGCTTCTATTGAGAAATTGCAAGGGAGAGGCAAGAGAACAGCATTGGTTAGGGGATTGGAAGGCTGTGTAATAAGTGATGTTGTTATATTCTATTCTAGTCATATGTGCGGATCATTTTAGATCGGTTTGTAAACTCGAGAATGATTCCAGATAATCTCTTTCTATGAGGTCAGATATAAAGTTCAACTCCTGGAGAGGGGAGGAAATTCTGCAGCACTTTAGTGCAATCACCTTGGAAACTGTTTGTTTATTGCTTTTTATTCTCCTTTTCAGAACTTTTTTTGCCCAGCTTGATGTTTAAATAATTTTCCTTTACTTTAGTCTTCAACATGCAAAACTTCAGATTTTCTATACTTTTCTAATTCGGTACTGGTTGATTAATTAAATGACCACAGATTTATTAAGTCACTTGGGTTACGTAGGGTGTAAAACATCTCGGTTCTTAACAGACTGTGTTCTGGGGATCCTAAACTATTAAAGCACCCCAGCACCTTTAACTGACTGTTTAAAGTGACCTCTTCAATCTGTGCTGCTGGAATAAGGAGAGTTGCCTTTTTTTTTTTTTTTTTTACAGCTTTTAAATCCATCTTCCCAGCTTTCTATACAAACTCCTTTCATATCAAGTTAAATTTTGAAATACATATTCATCCAGGGGACAGCATTATTATTCCCTTAAGCTGCAGATCGTATAAATAGAATTGCGAATAAAAGTACCCACCATTATTATGTTTCTACGGAATGCTTACATTTCCTTGTATTGATGAAATGTGATTCTCTCGTTCCCTCTGTAGTATCTACATGAAATACAACTCTTATTTATTTTCCTATTATGCACAAACCCATCTAGAATTAAACAGAAACTTCCCTGAAGTTATAAGATGGTTTCATTGCAAAAACTATATTTCCAGTTAACTGATTGGCTGCTGAGTTTGATTAAAATGTAATCTTATATGGCTTTAACCTGCTTTTGACTATAGATGAACGCAGCTCCTGATTTGATTTATTCATTTCTTGAGGATATTTTAAAGACCAGTACTCTACTGGGAGGGTTTTATTGAGAGGTTTTCTCCTGGAATAGATGTTAACTAGCGTTACTCACATAATCATCATCAGAAAGATTAAAGGTGCAGTTTCCCTGCCGAGAAAAGCAAGTACAACTTGTGACATGTGAGCACGTTTGACAGTTCATTTGTTTGGTTATTGCTCAGTCTCATTATGAAAATGACTTAATGGAGTTTCAGTATCCTATCGCTCAGGGATGAATACTCTTAATTGCATGCTTTCATCTGCTTAAGATACTCGAAGATGTTCTGTGTCTCTGGAACTCTCCAAAGTGATCAATATTCAGAATTTAACTTGAGCTCGGCAGGTGGATTGTTCAGTATGGATAGGTCACTTAGTACCCATACGTTTCACTGTTTGTACCTCCCAATGTTTTAAATAGACAAAGAGGGACACTTTAATTTTAGGGGTGTGAGTAGGGGTGTGGCCAGGGGTGGGACAGTCCTGAGATATTTTAGTGGACTTACTAATCACAATTTATGCAACTAACATGTGATTTAGAACAAGAACAATGTATCTAATTTACACACTGATTTCTAAACACCTTTATTGTAGTCAAAGACACATTACTGGGAGTATTATAGCTGTAGAGCTCTGTATTACTCAGACACACCAATAATGTGGAGCTCCTGGAAAAGAGGGAAATTATGATAGAAAAGAAGGACTGAGATTTTGGCCCACAATAATGACTGTCCTTCCTAAATAGGGACACTTGGGAAGTATTGTACAAGATGCTGGGAACTTGTTTTGCTGGGTATCCGTTCTGACAGTCCTTGCTTTGCGGAATCTGTCTTTTAAGCATGTATGAGATGTATACAGTCTGCAACCACATGCAAGTAAACTCTCTTTGGAGGTCCTACAACTATGGCAAGTGGGCTGAGAACCTTGGTGTACTTTAGTTTTCATTGGTTGGCCAGCTATATAGGACTGATCTGTATTTAAGGTACATTTCTGGTTGAAGGGATCATGTGACAACTCATAAAATATAGCGATATTTTATTTAAAAAAAATTATATATATCTCCAAAGACAGAGGTGTAACTAGAAACCATGGGACTCCGGTGCGAAAATTGCCCTGGGGCCCCCCTATATGTCCCTGCCGCCCTCTCCTCCCCCCCCCACATACACATGCAGACATACAGGCACACAGACACACACACACACTCACAGAAACGGATGCGACCATGGTAGGTACGCCACTGTCCAAAGATAAGGTTGCACTCACGGTCTTCATGAAATCCAAAAATGTGAACATTTTTTAAACAAGATCAATGTTTCAGTCCACATGTGGGACTTTACTCTGGATCAAAAGAGAAAGTGTTTAATAAAAAAAAAATATATATATATATATATATATATATATATATATATATATATATATATATATATATATATATATATATATATATATATATATATAATATATTTTTATATTTTCTATTTAGAATGTTTTCAGCGCCAAGTTTTGTTTTTGTTTGTGCTGTCATCCAGATCGTGAACACGCTGATGAGTTCTGTATAGTTTCAGTTACAGGAAAAAAAGGAATGAAGAAGAACCAGGTTATTTTGATTTTTTTCTTTTTGCTTTTGTTGGGCATCCAACAAAGAATCTTGTTAAACGAGCTGAAGATGCTTGCAGCATTGTTATTTAGGGTTGGGCCTTCATTAGGCCAATGGCGCTACACCTGTAAATGTCACTTCCAGATGACTCCACTAACCAGTCCAACCACTTTTTGAATGTAATACAAAGGACAGATTGGTATCTCCACATTTCTTAGAATAGTGATTCTAGATCAGAATTAGATTTATTTTATATTATGTAGATTTTAGATCTCTGAGAATATTGTCTTGAGCCGTGTTCAGGAAGTGACCTACGTTTATTGAGAATTATTATACATTTTCCCAATATGTGCTATTCAAATAAATTCTAACTTTGCAGACTTGGAGGGTTAATCGGTAGAGTGAAAAGTCAATTCATTTCAAACTTAAGACCAAAATAGTCAAACTGGAAAAATTCTCTGCCTAATATTTAAAATTCTCTTTGAATTCTCACTCCAGTAAATAACCCTGTTGGTGTCAATCAGAGCTCAGACTCTATGGCTGATCCTGCTGTAGTCATGTGAACACACTGGGGACTAGTTCTGGTGGTTTGATGGAAATGTTTTAATGGCGTCTCCTTCCGTAAATTCTCCCCTTCTTAATATTTGCTAAATAGTTTTAATAAAATTGGACGCAGTGATAAAAGAATAACGATGAACACCAAGAAATATTGAAGTTTGACCTGTGGGGAAATTCTTCCTCAACTGTATTTTGAATTCTGCTATTTTGGTTTAAAATTCAAAATTAACTTTGAACTCGCGTAATGCTGGACAGCGCACACTACAATGATAAAATTAAGGGTTAATGGAACCAGAGAGATTTCCTTAAGTGTGCATTTACCTCGAAGTGCAGAGTTTGAAGGAATTTTGTCTCCCTTGAGCTTCAATTACCACAATTGCTACTGTTTATATAACCCCAACATATTCTGCAGCACTGTACCTCCACCTCAGGGCACGTGCCTGCATCCCACTGATGGGAGTCGGAGTCCGAGCTAAAAAGTGTGAATTTAGACTAAAACTCTCAGCATGTCTCGTGCCTCCTCCTGCCAGCGTTCTGGTGATCTTAATTAGTACTACAAACGTCCAGAGTTGTACTATTTTAGGCTGCTTGCAAAACAGGCAGTGCCTCTCTGACTGCCTTCTAATCCACGATTTCATCCAGTCTGCTGGCTCACTTTCTCACAGCAGATACACCAACTCATAGACTTTAAATTGAACAGGCGTCACATTAGTTTTGTTTTCATTTAGTTTTTATTAAAATTTTCCTAATTGCTTGCTGACTGTGCAAAAGGTAATAGTTGTTGGAGAGATTTTAAAAATAAAAACTGTAGCTGCCTGAAAAACAACTGGTGGACTTCCCACATAATTAATGCATTGTGCAGTATTCTAAGTGATCAAGTTTGAGCCTCACAGGTTTTACAGATTTGTTTTTGTGTTTTCTTTGATAAGGTTGTGTGCGTTTTTGTGGTTTGCTATATTTATTTTTTAGTAAGTTTATTTTATTTATAAATGTCTGTATTACATTTGTTGGTAAACATCAATGATGGCTTGTGTTTGTATTTATTTTATTCCAGGATCATTTACTATAGTGCAGTTTGGTTTTGTGTCACTCTCGTAGATTTCCAATGTACAGCCTCTAGGGGGCAGTCTTATAACCCTAAACTGCTGAATGTGTGCACTCATGCTTAGCCTTCTACTTATGAATGAGCAGTTGACTTCCAGATGTGGGAAAAAAAATTTTTTACTAGATTAAAATTAAAACGTGATGCTTATCTTAGTGATTTAAAGCTCTCCTGTAGTGTTTTAAAATGTTAATAACTACCTCCGCTACTTACCAGCTTTCTGAAGTTCGTTACGAGGGTGCAGTTTGTTCTGACTCCTACCTGGCTGTTTATTTTAAGTTTTATAAAAATTGCAATGTTTTAGAACTATTACTGCATCTGCCTCTTTAACGCCATGGGTTGTTCGTTCTCTCTGGTTGGATACCTGGCTAGTTCTGGTGTTGTCTTATTTATGTTCCTTTTACCATATTTTGTAGGTCTTCATATCTGTCAACTGCCTGAGCACAGACTTCTCCTCTCAGAAAGGTGTGAAAGGTCTTCCGCTGAACCTGCAGATAGACACATACAGCTACAACAACAGGAGTAACAAACCCGTCCATCGAGCATTCTGTCAGATCAAAGTCTTCTGCGATAAGGTGAGCCCAGCTCTGTGCCCCATGATGTAAGTGGTGCTGACTTTATGGGTGGAGTAAATCGCAGGCATCCTCATCAGAACTCACCAAAAGCAAAGGATGAGGAGACATTAAGGTTGAACAGGTGTCTTAATGAAATAGACAGAGCCACCAATTCACTCTCCTGGGCCAAAGCAGCGATATGCTAATGTTGCAGCCTGTCCGAAGAAGGTAGGTGTCGGTCTGGTGTGAATGCGGGACTCATGCTTGCATTCCCATTAAGGGTGGACCGAGCTTGGAGCCATATTACAGCCCTCTCTGCATCGTCCTAGTGCCCATAGCATGAGTGAGTCTAATTATATCCTCGTGCTATGATTTCTGGGAACAGCTCTCTGGTGCCCTCAAAAGTGGGACACTGGAGAACAAATCCAGGACGATCGGACAGGAGCCCATGTCAGGATTCGGTACAGATTGGAGACTTGTTATAATACTTTGTGAAGTGCCAACATTTTCTGCAGTATTCTAAAACATATGTAAAAAAAAAAAAATAATAATAAAAAAAAAATTATAAATATATATATATATATATATATATATATATATATATATATATATATATATATATATATATATATATATATATATATATATATATATATATATATATATATATATATATATATATATATTTATATATATATATATATATATATATATATTTATATTTAATATTATACTCCGAGACCAGGTATTCTCATATATGGGAGCAGTTTGTCAAGTGACTTGTACAGAAAACAAAGGAAGGCTGCTGCTAAGGAGGAATAAAAAAATTTCAGCCAAATGATTTTCAAACTGTGGATAGCTGTCATAATTAATACTAGGTGCCACGGGCTGTCGTGATGTTTCGTGTTGTGGTGTAAATAGACTATTCTATTTAGGCAGTGGTAGACATTGCCGATCATCAGATATTATATTTTTTTTTTTTTTTTTATTCCTCCTTAGCAGCAGCCTTCCTTTGTTTTCTGTACAAGTCACTTGACAAACTGCTCCCATATATGAGAATACCTGGTCTCTGAGTATACAACCTATAGCTCCACTGGACCCAAGCAGCACATTGAGTGGCTTGTAATTTTCCAACCCCTTCCGATCTGTATTATTGCCATTTATATAGCGCCAACAGATTCCGTAGCGCTTTTCAATATTAGAAGAGGGGGGGATTTAACTATAAACACTTATAGGACACTTACAAGAAAACTTACAGGAGCGATGGGTTGAAGAGGATCCTGCTCAAAAAAGCTCAGTCTCTAGGAGGTGGGGTATGAAAGACATTAGGACAGGAATAGCCATTAAATAAGGTCGGAGTGAAGCAGAGCTGGAGGAGAGAGTAGAGGGCTACCCTGTAGGAGAGAGCAGGAGACCGGTATGTGAGGTAGAGGTTACTCTGGGAGGCCATAGGCCTTCCTAAAGAGATGGGTTTTAAGGCTCTTCTTAAAAGATGCAAGACTAAGGGAGAGTCTAATGGCGGTAGGCAGGCTGTTCCATATGAAGGGAACCGCTCGCGAGAAGTCTTGCAAGTGTGTGTTGGCTGTACGGGTGCGAGCAATGGACAGGAGAAGGTCATGGGCAGAGCGGAGAGACCGAGAAGGGCCATTCCTATAAGATAAGAGGCTAGAATTGGTCAATTCTTTATAGGTATGGGTTAGCACTTTGAATTGACTCCTATAGGATACAGGAAGCCAATGTAAGGACTGACAGAGGGGTGAGGTGTGAGAGGAGCGTCAGAAGAGGAAAATCAGTCTGGCGGCAGCATTCATTACAGACTGTAGCGGGGCAATATGGCTCTTGGTAAGACCAATTAGGAGAAGGTTACAATAATCCATGCAGGAAATTACTAGAGCATGGACAAGCTCTTGAGTAGCGTCTGCCGCTCCTGAGGAGCACGAGGACCTTCTTTCTGCCAGGGGCATTTCACTCTAAGTCCCCTCTCATGGTGGAATAATAAGGGTGCTGTGGATAAACTGGACATATCACGCTACTTCCCACATTAGATTTCCTGGAGCTAATGTCACAATCCTGCTCCCTCTCGGTTGGGATATAGGAGGCAGATATTTGGTATAAAAAACAGGATGTGTGTGTGCTTGAATCATTACATAATTGTGTGTAGCTAAATGCAAGTTGCATGAGAGTGTGAATGTAAAGAAGTTGGAGATGGAGGGGATATAGGGATGTCAGGAGATAGGATTTTGGAAGTCGGTGATGGGGCTGCACAGTGTCTTGAGCTGGCCCTAATACAACCCTGGCAAAGTGTTCAGCAAATGTATGAACTAGCAATATCAGATGATGGGCTGCTTGCCATATTCTTGAAGTTAAGCAGCACCACCTAGTGGCTAGTGATGAAACTGGTTGCATTATCACTTTGCATTCGTAGGAATATGGGCAAGAATAGGTATTCAAGCCCTTTTTAATGAAGTTATAGCAAAATGTACAGGACCAACACAAGTCTACATTTTTATTACTGTTACAGTCCTGATATGTTAGATGTTTTGAAACATGCACCGGTTTTATGAAATATAAATTTTTATTTTATTTATTTTTGTGTGCCGTGACTTGCTGCTTCAATAGCATTGTCTTGTTTTCTAATAACATGTCTTGTGTTCTTTGTTTTCCAGGGGGCTGAACGTAAAATAAGGGATGAGGAACGTAAGCAGAGCAAACGAAAAGGCAAGTTTTCTGAGCCCATCTCCCACATCACTACTTGTAAGTAAAAATGATTCAGGTCTTCGAAATCATTTCACTTACAGAGTATGTGTGTGTGTGTGTATTGGAACGTTTGTGTGTCTGTGTGGATGTCTGTGTGTGGAAAAATGAATCAGTCTTGACGATCTTGAGTAATCCTGTGCTTTCCTATAGAAAAGCATTGGGAGGCTGACGCACATTCCCTAGCCAATCAGCATCTCCTTATAGAGATGCATTCAATCACTGTATCTCTATGAGGAATGTTAATCGCCTCCATGCAGAACGTGGAGCCGCTGAATGTTGGTACGTAAGACGAAGAAGCAGCTTTAGTTGCAGTCTGAGTGACTGCCATTAAGAGCTTTTTCCAGGCAGCAATGTTAACACTGCCATTTCTCTGAAAACATTGCTCAGCCTGCCGGGACTGGCTATAGACGCCAAAACCACTACTTTAAGCTGTACTGGTTCTTGTGACTATAGTGTCCCTTTAATCAAAGGCCCGCACGTCTCTGTTGGTGATGTAGTAGGGGTGTCTCTCTCTCTGTGCTCCTGGGTCCCTGTTACTGGGGTAATGGTGCGTGAGGACATCCAACGAGTCCAGTAAAACCAGATTGAATTGTATTTCTGGAGGTTGTTTGAACAGGACGACATAAGCTCTTCTATTAAGCGTATTTCCTCCACGCTAGTGTAAGGGACTTATTTTTTTAATTAATTTGCTGATGTCTGTATTTTTCATTTAAATTCAACAATTTTCACATATTGATAGGAATCGTTTCAACAACATTTATTTGTTTGCTTATTTTTATTTTGTGGGGTATTTTTTTTTTTTTTTCTTCTCATTTAAGGAAACATTATGATAAAAAGTAGAAAGTGATTAATTGTATTCATGCTTATTGGGCAATTAACCAGTCATGCTAACTTTTTATTTTTTTATTATATTCTCAAAATCTAAACTCCATAAATCCTCAAAGAGAAACAATCTCTTTTCTCAAATCTTTTTATATTCTCCAGTTTCCAATATTGAATGTTGTATTTAATACACACATGTTCAAGAACCATCCTTGCCTAGATATCAGTGGGAGCAATCTGTCAAGTGGCAAATTGCAACATAATGACAAAGATAATGGACATCCTTCATACAGAGCAAGTTTTTATATACATTTGGCGAAAGCACCAGAGACTTTAAGGGGTCAAGGATAGGAATAACACGTGAATAGAATCCATCAATGAGAATATTTGTGTTTTTATTGGTAAACGGGTTCATATTCATTTCTGCTGATACAGTTACTCTCCTGTTTATTTCAGCTCACATGTTATTACAAATACAAAGTGTCTGTAGTACTGGAGAAATAGATTTTTCTTTATGTTGATGTCAAACGGTTCGATGTGTGATGCAATGCTGCTGATTTTCTGACAGAGGGCAGCACACACTTACCTCTTGCTATTGTCTGCACCTAAATACAAGAGTCTAATCAAATCAAACATTCTCATCATTCTGGTACTTATAGGGATAAACAAAAAACGCTTTTGCCATGTGTATTCCTAAAACTGTGAAATAAGGAATTCAAGAATTTGAGGCAAAATTGTGTGTGTGTGTGTGTGTGTGTGTGTGTGTGTGTGTGTGTGTGTGTGTTCGTCTAACTCTGCAATTTTGGCCCAGATTTTGCGATGCTTTTTAACTCCATAGAGGTCATGGTTTAATGAATACGGTCCCATGGTCCAGCCAGGCTCCTGCATCTCTCGTAGCTGGTACAAACCTTAATGACCGTCTCCTTCCTTTTATGTTGTGCAGTTCCAGATGTTAAAGGGGGTCTGCTGCCATCACACAAGAGAACCGATATCACGGTGTTCAAGCCCATGTCGGATACGGACACTCAGCCAGTGCTATTTATCCCCGACGTGCACTTTGCAAATCTCCAGCGCACCACACATGTAAGGCATGCTTCGAAACAAATGTTAACTTCTTTATATGCTTTTATATTCCTCATTTTTAATAATATTCTAAAAGTATGACTGCATACATTTTATTTATAGAACACATAGCACGAACAGGCATACTTTAAATTAAGGTAGAAATGGTATAGTAGGTGTGTGTAATGAGATGTATATTTTATACAGGACTTAAAATGTGTAGATATAAGCTACTAGCCAGGGCTAAATTTTCACTTGTCAATGGCTAGTGGATATATAATATTTCTGTAACACCTTAATTTTGATATCAGAGAGAAAGCTGTATATGTTGGTTATATCATCAAAGCAAGCTGTGTCTTTTACATGGCAAGGAAGCGATCTTTATGGAGCTTATATAGTTATTTTCTTACTGTTATTTATAAAGCGCCAACAGATTCCGCAGCGCTGTACAATTAGTGGAGAAACGTACAATATACATAGACAAATACAAGAAGTAGGGAGAGCCCTGCCCGTAAGCTGATTTCTAGCCATTGGAGCTCTTTTATACAAAGTGCTTGGCTAGATGGCCTGTGAGCTTACAGTCTAAAGTAGTAATTAAATCTCATTTACCAATTTACTCATGGTTTTCTGTTTGTTTTACATAGGTGCTTCCAATTACAGAGGAAATGGAAGGAGAAAGGTATTTATTTAGTTTACGTTTTGAAAATGAATTAGTTGGAGATATCAATTTTATGTTATGTGTAATGAGATTATATTGTATTTTAAAAAAATAAAAATAAAAATACTAAAACATTTTTTATTTTGTATTTTTTTTTTTTTAGTTCTGGAATGAAGAGGATGTCATTCTCTCCTGATGACGACTTTCCTGCACCTCCTGTAAAAATACCAAGACCGGAAGAACCAAAGAGAGGTTTGTTATTTCACAGTTTTAAACCATCCTGTAATGCAGCAGAATCCTGTGTTCTCTGCAGAGCAAGCTATAGTATAACAATGTACAGTATTGTACATTATTCACACTAACAAACCGTTGCAGACAAAGTAGTTATGCTGGGATTTCCGTTGCCCTGTCCCTTTAAACCCCATTTAGTAATATTCTCAAAGTCGGCTATGTTTCTAGTCCAGCTATATTGGTCTAAAATTTGGAATTCACTTTCAGTTAACTTTAAACTAACTTTATTGTGACCGCCTGTTGACATTTGACAACAACTATGTCCCGAAGGGAAAGGGGGTACGTACGAACAGCAGTCCACCACAAAGTCTATGACTTCAAACATCTAAAATGCGCATAAACGAGCCATTGCATTATATAAACTATTTATTTCATTACGTACCAGTGATAGAGAAGAGCTGTTACAAAAGTAACAAATGAGACAATCCTGACATTTATCTGTGTGGTTTCTGTTTTTTGTTTTTTTTGCAGTGTTTAGTGCCCATTAAATGTTTAATGTGGTGAAGTCATGTTGCTGGGCTAGATTGTTATTTAAATAACAATGTGACTGGCTTCCTAACCCTTTGTGAAATACATATTAATATTCAGTCAGTGGGAGTCGGTTCCTGTCACTGTATGCCTCTAAGCCACAAAAAGCACATGATCACATGCTCACCTCTAGCTCTGAGACTCGTTGTCTCGCTTTGTTCTCACCATGACAATCTCTGCATGTTCTGCAAAGCTTAACATTTCCTGCTACTTTCACCTGATTTAAAATTAAAATAAAAACGTAGAATTTAAATCTGTCTCTACTGGAGCCAACACCCTGATTTTGTTTGTACAAGGATTTAGAGAAGCCAACGATACATACATGGAATTTAAATACACTTTTTTATTAATCAAAGTATTGCAGTGGTACCACATGCTGCAATCACTGGGTCAGGTGACCTCAAGATATGATGGTGCAGTACAATTGCCAATATGGTTGGTGGTACTGGCCACAATGCTGATTGATTAACTTTATCACTTTGCATCAAAAGGAAGTGACTAGAAGTGACTGTCACGTGACCACGATGCCTTAAACTTGAAATTCACTTCGAATTAAATTAAAGGAACACTATATGGCTTGGAATTCAAATCTGTATTCCTGACCCTATAGTGTTAAAACTACCATCTAGCCTCCCTGGCCCCTCCTTCCCTTTACTCCAGAATCTTACCTTTACTCCAGTCTGCTGCTGCAAACTCTGCCCCTGATCTTCCTGCTCTGCTGACATCATCAAAAGCCATTCACAATGATTTCCCATAGGATTGGCTCAGATTGTCAAGGAGGCAGATCCAGCATAAGTCAAACACAGCCCTGGCCAATCAGCATCTCCTCATATCCTCACTGAATCAATGCATCTCTATGAGGAAAGTTCAGTGTCTCCATACAGAGGATGGAGACACTGAATGACAGTCACACTGTGCAGCACCTTCCCAGAAAGCACCTCTAGTAGACATCTGAGGAGTGACCACTGGAGGTATCCCTAGGCAGTAATGTAAATGTTGCATATTCTCTGAAAAGATAGTGTTTACTGGAAAAAGCCTGAAGGGGACTGACTATACTCATTAGAACAAATACAATAAGCTGTAGTTGTTCTAGTGACTATAATGTCCCTTTAAGAAGAGAATGGAGGAGGAAATTCCAAACTTTGGGTTGAAATAGCCGAATTGTAAACTCCATATTCTCCACAATTCCTTTTTTAGGGAACACAGTTTAAAAATAACTTGCAGGTGAACTTTAAGATATTGTCACTTATTTCTGTTAGAGCAAGATTAATCTCTGACTGTTCATCATTTGTGATTAAATTGTAGCAGTTCTAAATTACTAGTTTCTGACTTTTATTATTTATTTTTTTGTTTAAAATATCTTTTTAGTATGATTTAAAGAGAAGAGGAAATACAGTGCGTTTTTATGTATTTGTGACAAGACAATGCATTTTAAGCTGAAAGCCACAATCAAATCACCAACAAAAATACATTAGTTAGAAGAAAAAAGTGGTCCAGGCACTCCATCAATTCGAGCAGCTTTATTGGTCGTGAACAGACATTGCAACATTTCGGCCCACAACGGGCCCTTTGTCAAGCTTGACAAAGGCCCCTTTGTGGGCTGAAACTTTGCAAAGGCCCCATTGTGGGCCAAATTGTTGTAATGTCTATTCATGTCCAATAAAGCTGTTTGAATTGATGGAGTGCCTGAACCTCCCTTTATTCTGACTATATGACATTGAGGGATTGCCAGCCCTTGTTCAAGAGCATCCTAATATGGATTATATGTGTGGCTTCCATTTTTTATTGTGGACTACAAAAAAAATACATTGGCACGTAAAGTAGGCCAGTACAGGTGAATTCATGACTTACGATCATGTTAGGAAGGAGTGCACTGCTTGTACCTGTTTTACTTACCATTATCAGAGGAACATAGTTATTTTAATGGCTATCCAATAATGATGAAACATCAAAGTTTTGGGATGTTTGTAATCTACACAGTAAAGATACACTAAATGCAACAGAGAACCTTTAAAATGTTGTTCCTATAGTAATACTGTTTGCTACTTTACATTATGAAATCTGGGCTGACCAGTAAGTTTAAACAATGGAGAGTCTCACTGTTCTATTCCTCCTTAATTTGCAGTTTTGCTGTATGTGAGAAGGGAAACTGAAGAAGTATTTGACGCACTCATGCTCAAAGCACCAACCCTGAAAGGTCTAATGGAAGCTGTAAGTACTACACTATATTAGTTATCTTTTTTTATGACTTCTCTCAGTTGACCTAACCTATTGCACTTGGCATGCCATATCCTCTGTTTGCTACTATAATTCCTGGTAAATAAAACAAACTTACAGTTAGTCCTAAAATAACAAAGTATGTGAGGGGTGAATATAACGCACGCGCACACAGATATGGTGGGTCATAGTCCAGTTCTCCTGGCAATACGTATTTGAAAAAGCACCATAAACCACACATTAAAATGTTGAGCATTTTTTGTGAATTGAGCAACACTATCACAGTTAGACACACAACATTTTTAAATTGTCATTAGTTGACTAGTTATGCCGATGTTTTGGATTAAGACTTTATAGAGGCCAGAGAGAACACACACAAGGTGAATTTTTTTTTTATTTATTTTTTTTTTATTTATTTGCGGTGTAAATCTATAATCCAAGGCGGCGTGGTATCCGCTCAGTGAGCATGATCTAATGCACCAATTTAGCTTACTACACTCTTAACTGGCACCACAGAGATGGGTAGAACATTTAAAAATACCTATAATTTGGGGCTATTTGGACACCATTTTCATGGTGTTTTTTCCATTGAACTGTATTTTGGCTTAGTTTCAAGGTGGCCATAGTGGGTTTACACCCTGAAATCATAGACTATGCTAAGATTAGACTTGTGTACAAATTATTTTCACCTGTGATGAAAGAATTAAATTCCTGTTATTCTATGTCCAAACAAATCCGTCCATACGCAATTTGTAAAACTGTTCAATTCGTTCAGGTATAGATTAACAAGAATTTGACTAATTTGTCACTGGTGAAAAGGATTTGTACATTTTTGTTAACAAATTCTAGTTATGTTGATTATTCTTTACAATTCTAATCTTGGAAATATGAACGTAATGCAACACATGATGAATCACTTTGATAATTTACACCAATCATTGTAGAGCACCAACTTTCTTGTTTTAAGTAGCTAACAAAAATGTAAAACTAGGCTATGTTGGTTATGATTTGTAAAGGTTTGCGACTACAAAGTCAACTTTAGTGATATTTTTACAATCTTAAATCAACCTTGCAGGGCAACAGCTCAAGATTAATGACTGGGGAAGACCAACACATAAAATACATTGTCAGACTAACCTTTAATTTTTTAATTGTCATTTTTATCTTTTTGTAGATATCTGAGAAATACGAAGTTCCTCTTGAAAAAATTGGAAAGATCTTTAAGAAATGTAAAAAAGGGTAAGTATTACTTTTTTCCCAACTCTTTTTTCCAAGACCTTAAATGAACTTGATAAAACAATCTCTTTAAGCAGAATATCTGTATTTGTGCTACTCAAAAACTCAAATTTTCACTTTGTAGATAAGTGTGTGTGTGGTTTTTTTTTTTTGTCTCACAAACTGAATGCCCCTGTACATAGGAGTGTAGACACATGTAAGGGTGTTCCCATGAACTTCTTAGCGCCTGCTAATTAGATTTATAAGAACGGTCCCTGCCCCTGTTTACACCCTTATTATGTTAAATATTCTCCTACTCCAAATTATAGCTTTTCACTTGGGCCGTTGCGTTAAACCTGCCATCATTTAGTTTTCGATCAGTGCTATGGGTTCCATTCGATTGAATCAACCATTTTTAATAATTTCTGGGAACCTTCCTTTTAAAATCCAGAATGGATTCAAGTTGGACAGTTCTGAGTGGGATAGTCTTACCTATTGTTTTTGGTTTATTTCCATAGAATTTTTTGATTTTGTACATTAGTGACATTTAAAGTGATTTTAGCTACGTCAATAAAAGCACATGCTAATATTATTTTGCTGGGTAAATAATGGGAAAATATTTCCACCATTTTTTTTATTATATACGGTTTTGCGCTCCTTCTGCCTTGCAGACTGGATTGGGTTGTTTGCTGTTGTTCTTGGCATGTGCTGCCTATCAGCAGGCTCCCAGCTGAGTAATATGACTTCTGACATTCCCTTACTGCTAATGCAGTAAACGTGAGGTTTGTTGTGCTGTAAAATCTGTACAGGTGACCTAGCCAGAGTCAATCTGTAGAATCCGTATAGAAATGAGGTATTCACTGTAAGTTACAGTGATTGGCAGATTGTTTTGGACCATGCTTCACCCTTTATCTAGGATGCTTTCTGCTATATATAAAATAGCATCCACCATAAAAAAAGCACATGCAGTTTTATGCTCTTGCGAGATAGTGTCTTTGTGTTTTAACTTTGTTTTTGCTTCTATTAACAATGGTGGTGAATTTTTAAAGGGAAAAAACTCTTATTTTACGGGCACAGTTTTTATAATTTCCTCCTTTTGCAATGGTCTCTCCGCAGAATCCTTGTTAACATGGATGACAACATAATCAAACATTACTCCAATGAAGACACATTCCAGCTCCAGATTGAGGAGACAGGAGGTTCCTACAAGCTCACACTCACAGAAATTTAAAAATACAGCGATTTGCCAAAAAGAACTTTACAGGAAGACTTCACATTTCCAGCTTGTTCTGCAAGTTTATAGGTCAACAATCTTCGGTGTAACCAGATCTTAGATACTTTTTCTGGAGCCAAGCTTTCCTGCTGGGAGGAATGTTACCCACATGACCAAGCATTAGAGTTGTGGTTATACTGCATATTCTCATTCTGGTGGACATTCCTTGCAGAAGATAAAATGGAATCCTTGTTCAGCTATACCATCTCTGAAATGCATTGCAGGTCCCCGCGGCAGAGCTGAAAATCCAATTCAGTAACGGAAAAATCTACAAACACAAATATAATTATCAGCGTACTGTGTTTTCCGAAATGTTTTACTGGACACCTGTGCCATAAAGATCCACCTTCCTTGTCTAGGAAACTTGCGAGGGGAATGGGGGGGGGGCTGCAATGTCTCAAAAGGGGATATCCCTAAATGATAAACGGACACTTAAAAACTGATTAACGTGAAGAACTTCACCGACATTTAAAAAAAAAAAAAAAAACTAAATATATATAAATAAAATACAAAAAGGAAACATGGATTCTGTGACAGAATCCAGTGCCCAAAAAGCTGCATTGTGTATATAAAGTGCAATATATTTTGTAGTGTTGTTTTTCTTTGTAAATGTGTACATACACAAGCACATATATAATATATAGTGTTCCAGAATATGTATTAATATGGTCATTTTTGTTTTTAGTTTAGAGAATGATGCCAAACAAGTTTCTACCAGCCAGGCTACAATGACACTTTTTAAAAACCTTAGAATTGTATTCGAGAGAAAAATATATGTATGATACTGTGCCTGTATTATTAAGTGCCTTTTTTTTTTTCTTTTTTTTTTTTTATTATTTTTATTTTTTTACTGGAGTGAGATTTGTTATGTTTGGGGGGGATATAAGGTTATGTCTCCTTTATACCTCCATTTGTTTTTTTTCTTGATAAAACAGTTTCTAAAGGGAATGGACTTAGATGATTGAGACCATAGTGCTGCGGCGTCGTTAGCTGTTACTAACCTTCCTCTATAGGAAGGAGTCCTCATCAATTTCCATTTAAAAAAAAAAAAAGTGCCTGCTCATAATGATCACTTCCTGCTACAGTGTATTCTGGGAAATAGTTTTTATGAAATTTTTATAGAATTTTTTTTTTTTTGTTTGTTTTTTTTCAATTTACAATGGAATGAATATAAGAGTAAAATATCTTCATATCCATGACAATGCAAAATATGTTGCACTAATGTTAGAGAAAGGAGGAAAAAAGACAAATAGAAGTATAGATGTAGAGAAGAAAAGTTGTTGGAGAGGATAGAAACTTTGTCCAACACAATTTATTTTCTTTAAAAACTATTAATGGGGGTTTAACTATATACTTGGCCATTTAAATTTCCTTGGCCTCACCAGTATATAGAGACAAAGGGAGTAAAGTAAAGATCTATTGGCATTAAATCTTTTACTGCATGAATGTGATTTTATTTAAGGGATGATTTGTGTAAACCAGGAGTAGCCCATTCCTGTGACTGCGTTAAACCTACAATTACTAGGAGTCTTAGCAAAGTCTAACTCAAACATGGATGCTGCATTGCAATAATCCTTTTAGAAGACTGTTCACCTTTTGGAAATCTTTCATTTGACCGATGATGCACAAGAGGTTAGCTATCATTGTCATTTTTTGCTCTTTGGCCATTCATATCTTAAGCGAACTGATACCATCTTATGAAATGTCATGGTTTAATGTCATTGTCAACAGACCTATAGTAAATTTGAAGGGAGGAGAGAAGGAATTACTGACAGTTTATTATCCTCTCTAAGAAAATTGGCCACGTAATCACAATTAAATGGTTATACGGCCATTTTGTGCGGAGTCTGTTTTTACATTTTTTTGTTTAAGATAGATTGTTACTACTGATGTTACTATTACTACTGATAATGTTGAGTTGAGTTGTTACCAATTCATTACCGGGGCTTCCACCAATTTTTTTAAAATATTTTGTTAACGGACGATGTACAAATTCTGGAACTTTTTTTTGTATATATGTTTTTGGTTAATTTTTAATGTATGTTTATATTGTATTCAACAGAGGAATAGGGAAAAGGGTGTTTTTTTTTTTTTTTTTTTTTTTTTTTTACAGCTTCAGGGATATAATTTAAGAATCCACTGTACAAATTTAATTATTTTTACGTTTTTGTATATGTGCTACAGCATGGTAAAACGATCAAGGCTGTGATGGTCAAATCCAGACAGTGTATGAAGTTAGTATATTAAGTTTTATATCTTAAATAAGGCATCATTCCACACTGAAATACTTTTCTGTATTCTACTTTACAAAATATAAAACTTTTTTTATATATGACTTCTGAGTTGGAAATAATTATTTTTTATTTTTTTGTTTGTGGGCTGTGTTGGTTTTGTTTTTTCTGCCAAGTTCTATCCCAAGAAGTATAGACATCGGAGACTAGAATTTTTAATATAAGAATTTTATGTTTGACGAGTTCCAGTACGAGTGAAGGATAGATGTCCAGATAAACCTATAGCAATTCCCTAATCAGCCAGTCAAGAGTCAGATGTTCTCTTCTCAGACTAAGAATTGAAGATGCTAAACTTATCATTCCTTCAAATTGATTTCATGTCTTGCTAGGTAGGCCGCTACTACCTCCTATTTAAATTTCTGCTTATGACCGCAACAGTTGCAGCTCTTGGGGTCTTTTAAGACATAGGCTTACTGTACCTTTTCTCTCATGCAGTAGATGGGCCTCAGTTGGTCCCAATAATAGTCTGTTGACTAGGGAGCAACATTCTAATCAGGTAATCGCGTGTGCTTATACGAGCTAGTGAGTGGTAGCATTTTGACGAGACTGTAAATTTTAAGGTTTGTAATTTTCCTTGTCTTTGGACTTCCCCGCCCCTCCCCCCCAATCTTCTTTTAATAATGACATCAAACTGTAGACCTGCAAGTAAAACTTGCAACAAACAAAACGCATCCCTTCAAATTTGTAAGGAATAATGGGCAACGTTAGGAATTTGCACAAATTTGCCTTTCAGTGCTATTTAAGATCGCAGTATTGGAATTTTTATTTACAATGAATTAATTGGAACCTGCATCCGTACACTGAAATCTAACATGACTTCATAGCTAAAATTTTTATGATGGAATCTAACCGCCCAAATCTGAAATGTGAGATCATGCGCAGTGAATTCTCATTATCTTGTTTATAATTTCTTGTTGTCTTTAGTCTGTTTTGTCTATGCAAGTGTGTAGTCTCTCTCGAGCTACATCAAGGTGGTGATATAAATGCATTATTGCTGAGCTGATTAAGCCTGACAATCTTTCCATTCATGCCCACACCTAGAATTAAATGATAATGAAACGACAAATTGATACTTTGTAATCTGGTGGGAATGGATTGATTCCTCCTGATTTACGAACTCTGGGAACTAGGGAATATTACTGTCATAAAGAATCATGTTACTGCTTTCATTGACTCTAGGAAATGTATTTTCTCAAGGTGCAGGTAGATCAGAAAGCTACATTTAGCAAGATGAAATACTGGTGTTCTATATAAATAAATAAAAAATTTCAAAGATTGCGCACAAAAAAATAACAAAACAAAAACGCCAACCTCCACAATAAAAATACACAATTCTATAGGAACCAGGGATAGGTAAATAACATGGGCAAACAAAAATTATTGTATGAGATCAGTCATAACCTTAATCGTGTTGTCAGATTGCATACATTTCCATCAGTGCTTCAGTAATCAGAAAGGTAGATACACTCGTCCGTTTGAACTTCGCTCCCATGGTCCTTTGCCAGCCTTTATTGAGGGCAACGGTGTTACATGATTGGTTATATCAATTTGTAACACTTACATAAGGACCACTGTAGACCTGATAATCTACACCAGCATTGTTGTCATGACATGTAATCGCATAATATTGACAGTTGAAGCAGAATTACTAAAGTAAACGACTGTAATAATTAATTACGTGACTGGATTCCCAGAATTCTCCAATGTTTACGAAAGTTTGGCAATGTGAAACAAAACATGAGATCCATAGAGAATATGCACCGCACACACCAACCTTTGATGTAAGGAAAATCGTATTGTCCTTATTACTTTTATTTATAATAATGATAGATATATATTATCTAGCTAATTCTGTAGTACTTTACAATATAATAAAGGAGACAATTACAAAATATTACATGAATAATAGGTTGATGAGGACCCTGCTCAAAAGAGCTTACAATCTAGAGGAGGTGGGGGGGGAGGTATAAAAACACAATAGGACTTCTTAGTTTATATTTTCTCATAAATCATTCTTACAAAATTGTATGTGTAATAAGAAACTACTCTTTAATCTATGGCTAACCACAATGTAGGTTAGAAAAGAGAGGTTAATGCCAATAAAATGCTCATCATAACAATGAGATGCGAATAGTGATTCTGATCAGTATGAAGAAAAGGGCTTGGGACTATGATGGGTACTGTGATACACATTGAACCAATTGACCAAGAGAAAGCACAGGTGGTCATGTTTATAAAGAGGTCCAATGCAATCTCAAATTGGATGAGAAGTCTGATGTTGAATGAACAGGTAAAAATGTTGGAACTGTCTGATACTGGAAAATCTAAAGAGAAAAGTATATGGTAACCTTAACCATTTATGTCTGTTTTACAGGCCTTGCCTAGTGCACAAAATAGGCTTGCATTGGGTCTGACCTCAATGAACGGACTATACGGGATTGAACAAGCAGGAGCTGCAGGATGACAAAAGTTGACAAAGGGTGGAACTTCCATTTTGTTTATTACTTATCTGTCTCCAGCATTGCATCACATTGCGCCATTGAAAAAAGTTAGGTTGCACCAGTCCCACGGCCTATAAAAGTTGTGGGAGGGTCAGGTGGAGGGAGAGGGAGAGGGAGACACGGTTGTCAGGACAGAACTACTTTAACATGTACTGGTATTGTTACAGTAGATTCAGGGATCGATCCACTTGTCCACCTCTTGATGTTATAGTTGGGTAAAGCAGTGTTTGTGAACCTTTTATGGAGAAGCATCCTTATGGGTCTGAAAAAAAAAGTAACTCTTCCTCGAGAAAGTAATTTCTATTGATTTAAATTCCAAATGAAACATGTAGACACTGATATTTAAGTTTAATCCCGTATTGGAGAACTAGCCTGGTTAAAGTGAGTATTGTGTATGTACACCAGGTAAGCAGGTTCCTACTCTGCCTTAGCACATAACTGGACACGTCTGGGGGAGCCAGCCAGCTCTTGGCGTACTCCCTGACTTTGGTGCACATTGAGAAACAAGGAGGTAAAGCCTTGTGGGAGTTTTAGAGCTACTGCATCCAGAAATATACCACTTGGCTCTACTTGCATTAAGCAGATTCCGCTAGACACGTACATTCGATATACTCTTCCTTTAAAGGACCACTATAGGCACTCAGACCACTTCAGCTTAATCAGTGGTCTGGGTGCCAGGTCCATCTAAGATTAACCCTGCCTGCTGTAAACATAGCAGTTTCAGAGAAACTGCTATGTTTACAAATGGGTTAATCCAGCCTCTAGTGGCTGTCTCATTGACAGCTGCTAGAGACGCTTCCATGCTTCTGACTGTGATTTTCACAGTGAGAAGACGCCAGTGTCCATAGGAAAGCATTGAGAATGCTTTCCTATGGACTGGTTGAATGTGTGCGCGGCTCTTGCCGCGCATGCGCATTCAGCCGATGACGAACAAAGGAGGAGGAGAGTCCCCAGCGCCGAGGGAGCCCGGCGCTGGAGAAAGGTGAGTGTTTAACCCCCTTCTCCCCCCTTCAGCCCGGCGGGAGTGGGACCCTCAGGGCACTATAGTGCCAGGAAAAAGAGTTTGTTTTCCTGGCACTATAGTGGTCCTTTAACTAATCAATTAATTAACTAATCAATAAATTTAATGATGAATTGAGTCTTCTGGCATAGAACCCCATTTGATTTGTTTTTTTAGACTGATCGGTCTAAAAGTCAAAAGGGTTCTATGCCTGCCGCATTGATTCATTGTCAAGGCCATTATGAAGAGTGCAATAAATGTACGTGTAGATTCAGCCGTGCAATATCCTTATTTACCAATGACTGTGATTTCCCAGTAATACAAATTAACAAGGCATATCAAGCAAAAATATAATAAAAATCCACAGTGCAGGTTTGAAACAATAGCTTTGACTATTCAGTCCCAAACTGTGTCTCTCCCAAACGGCAGGAGCCCTACCTGAGTTAATCCCCGAAGAACTGATAGTGCACACAGCTGGGGTTCTAACGTGTAAAAGTGCCATGGTTGACGTATTTTAAGAAATGGCAGACACCTGGTTGCCATTTGTGTGCAGTAGTCCTGCATGCAGTACATTTATAAGCGCTAAATCCTCAGACTACTTTATGGTCACACAGGGAAGGATTAAGATCCCACAGGGCCAGACAACTGACCAGTTTGGGGCTTCCCTTCGTACTTCACAGAAGGATGGTGAATGAGGCCAAGCAAATTCATGGCTTTGTGCCCTTGGTGGCAGCCAAAGGTCAACTAACGGTTACTGTTGCTCGGTTGTCAAAGTGTTCCGTCACAGTAGCGTTCAATCTTTTGCCACATTTTATTCCTCTTTTGGATTTTTGCTCTTTTCTTTCCCTTTTTTTTTTTAAATTTAAGTAGGTTTTATATATTAAACAAAAATAACGTGAAAACTGCTTACTCGTCGCACAGAACCCCCACTCTGGCAGTGGCAGAAAACTTTGTTGACAAAACAATTTCACACATTTACAACTTTTTCTTTTTTATACATTGGAATGGACACATTTGTAAACCTAAAAATTAGCAAAAATTGAACAAGTAAAAGAATAGAAAAATTATAGCGCAAGACAGGAAAGAAACTGGCGCAATTAAGAAACGCACTAAACCTATTTTCTTAAAAAGCAGGCGTGATCCCTTTTATCATCTTTCTTTACCCACTATATGCTAGGTGAGTTCTTACAAGTGATCTACAATGTTAAACTTTAAAGATACAATGATATTACAAGACGAGCACATCAGCTTTCTCCTGATTTCAGCAGGTGTTATGGATAATAATGTGTTATACGTTGCTCCTAACTTAAGATTACTGTTGTGGTTCTGTTTTTTTACTGGAAATCGGTGCGTCTAATTAACTTGTATCTTGTGTAATTTCTATAAACGTTTGTCGGGTAATATGTTTTCAAGCCATGTTTTTCTGTGCTGTAATGTGCGAGTGTGGTTATTTTGACAAGAAAAACAGGCTTATTTGCTTGCGATATATACTGGGACATGTTGATTCTTGCTTCACTGATTATATCTATAACGAGAAATTCAA